TTTTGTAGCCACCAATAGTTCTTTCTTTCCATCTCTGTTTTCTCCCTCTCATTTTTGTCTTGATCTTAACAAACAGAAAAACATTTAAGCTTTTTCTGGGGAAAAATACTGTAGGAGATAGTATTTAAATTGTTTCAGTTTTAAGGTCAAAAATATTAGCTGGTGTATATCAAGGATACATGATTATTATGGAAAAATAAGCCTCACTCCAGGGGGATAATTGGAAGAAATTTTAGCAAAGGGGATTACACATGATGTAGACAAGGTCTAAGGAGAAATCAAGGGTTTCTCCTTCTAGGACTAAAAGTCATGGACATAGGTAGTTACCAAAAGTTCCCCAGACTCGATATAGGTGTGAGAAGCATTGTTTATTGAAAATATGGCTGTAAAATGTGGCCATAAATGAAGAGTAGTCACTAAATAATCTGGAAGAAAGCATTTTTGTCTGGTGTTTCCTTTTAGCCAAATCCAACCATCAGTCAGAAGCTAGAAGAAAAGGAAAGAATATTTTTCAAATACTGACAGAAAAGGACTACCAATTACAAATTCTACATCCAGGAAGTTTATTCTTTAAGAATGAAAAGGATATGAAAACATTCTCAGAGGAAAAAAATCTAAAAGAATCGGTTACTTTCATTGGATGGATGAAACTCTTCAAACAATAAGGAATGGATAAAAGAAGGAACTAGGGAACATCAGGAAGAAAGATGTAAAAATGCAAAGAGCAGAAATATAGGTGCATACAATGCATTTTGTAAACCATATTTGATGACTGGAATGAAAACTAGAGCACTATCTGATTAGAATGATGATGATATTTTGAATATGGAGATAAATGTCATGAATGGGAATGAGGTTTGCACTTTTGGGGCAAAGTGGTAAAATGCTTATACCAGTATACTTGTAACATATAGGTAAGTAGATAAATCAATATATAGACATAAACAGATATAGCAATTGTCAACAAATACTAGTGAAAGTATACAAAATATACACTCAAAAACATTGTAAGTAAATCAAGATGTGTTCCTAGAATGTGTTTCAGTATCATGAAAGAAGGTAAAAAAAGAGAATCAAGAACAACACAAGGAAACAAATAGTTAGTGGCAACCTTAAGTAATAACAGATCAATAATTAGCTTAAATGCCAATGATGTAAATAAACGAAAAAGTAGATTAAAATATATTCCAACAAAGATTTCTTACAATAAACTCACCTTAAATTCAATGTAGGTTGAAAATAAAATGGTGAAATGGCAAAAAATGATATATAATACAAAAATTTTAAAAAGCAGCATTGGCTATTATTATTTGACAAAGTAGAATTCAGAAGAAAGAAAATTACTAGCTATCAAGGGGATAGTAAATAGTAAGAAAAAGGCAACCTAGTAGAAAGAACTAGCAATCCTAAATAGGTATGCAGCAAACAACAATACTTCAAAAGGAAACAAAATCAGAAAGTGCTGAAAAAAGGAACAGAGTAGAATCCACAACTGTAGTGGGGATTTCCATAGTTTCATTTCAGCTACTGATAGAACCACTAGACAAAAAATCAGCAAATATATAGATGATCTGAAAAGCATAATGAATGAGTACAGTCTAACTGTCATATGGCAGAACACACATTTTTTCCAAGTGTCTTTGGAACAGTTTGCTAAGATCATATTTTAAGCCATAAGAAAACCTCAATACGCTTAAAAAAATTGAAATTACACATAATGTGTTCTTTGGCCACAATGGACTTAAACTTAAAACTAATAACATAAAAAACAACAGGAAAACTTCTAAACATATAGAAATTAAGCAGAACACTTCATGGGTCAAACAAGAAGGTTTAAAGGAAAAATTAAAAATACATAGAACTGAATAAAAAACAAATATACAATATACCAAAACATATATGATACAACCAATATAGGTTCAATAAGGAAATTTATAGTCGTAAAATAGATATGAACAAAATTTTCAAATAACTAAATGCCCTACCTCAAGACACTAGAAAATGGGCTGGCAGAATGGCTCAAATGATAAAAGCACCTGCTTAGCAAGCATGAAGCTCTGAGTTCAAACCCCAGTGTCACCAAAATAAAATAAAACTCATTATGAGGTAAACATTTTCAAATCCATTAAACCATTACAACTAAAAAGAAAAAAACCATAATATTAGGAAGAAACTAGAAAATGAAGAGTAAAATAATGTAAAACAAGCAGAAACAAAGATAATAGCAGAAGTCAACAAAATTAGAAAAATAAATAAACCATCAGGAAAACCAATGAAACAAAAGACTGTTTAAAAAAATCAGTAAAATTAATAAACCTCTAAATAAAAGTGAAGTACATCCCTGATAAGTGCATCACAAGATTCAATATTATGATTATGGCAATAATTCCCAAATGCTTTTCAAATTCAATGTGATCCCTATTAAAATCCCTGCTTGCTTTTTTGCTAATTTGACAAGCTGATCGTAAATTGATACAGAAATGTAAGTGCCTCTATATTTTATAAAGTAAGCTTTTTCTCTGATAAAATCCTCCATTTTCTTCAGAGCTACTTTAGTAATTTCACCTCTAATTCCCAATACAGAATTCATCATTACTTCCTGTATAAGATTCCAATTTACACAAATATCATAAAAATTACCACGTACTGTAACCTGCATAGTTATGTTGCCTTAGTAATCAGTACGCCCCTTAGCCTCAGATTTATGTGTGGATAAGCTCTGAGTTTGCTCCACCATTCAATAAATGTTGAATGAAAAACTTCTATAAGATGTATTCCTTGTACCTTTGTTCTAAGAATTATCTCCAAAATTCTTAGCAGTTTTTTTTTTGGGGGGGGGTGGGAGGGGAGAAAGAAAGAAAGAGAGAGAGAAAAGCCATTAACTTTTGGAAGTAGACCTGTCTTTTAATGTCTTAGCCTTGCCACTTACAAGCTCTGTGCCATATACAAGCTTTTATAACATTGCTAAGCTTATGGGTTCTTTTTTTTTTTTTTTGATGTATGAATGAGAGAGTTCATTGCTTCATGTGTGATAAATATTTAGAATAAGGCTGACCCCAACAGTAAGCTCCATAAGTGGCATCTATTACCATTATCTACAAAACTTAACACATTACACAGAGCGTCAAGTGATCTAAAGGATGCCTTCCAATTTTCAGTCTGAATTTTTGCATAAAATCTATTATTTTTTTAAATTTACAAAGTTGCAAACCTGACTAAAAAAAGAAAAACAAGCAAAACTTAGTATGGTTAACAGATTGTTTTATTATTTTCTACAGCATTTAAAAAGTAGAATATATTATAATACTTTGTTAAAAATAAATCTTTAAGCAGCTTTTGAAGGTTACTGGAAAACACAATTTCCATGTAAAAGCAATATTTTTCAAACTAAAATCAGTTTGTATTGTTTATACAATTTAGAGTAGCAAGCTATGATTTGTTAAGAATCTGAGCAATGTACATATTCTTGCATTTCCAAGAAATAAAAAACTAACAAGCACCAGAAGTCACCAAGTTAACACTGATTCCTCTCTGGTCCCACTGTGTGATGGAGAGTAAGAGGAAAAACAACAAAAAATTACATTTACTTAAGGTATCCTCCAAAGGCATTTTGATAAAGTTATTAATTTTCTGAAGAGCAGAAATAGATTATAATAGTTAAGGCTCAAGATTATGCATTCATAATAAAATACAATTATCAATATGTAAATGACATTGAGTGTCATACAACATATTTAAAGCTTGACATTTCTTTTTGAATCCTTTTATGAGTTTGTAGGCACATTGAAATCAGTTTTCACATGAATGGAGTAACTGTCAGTCATTTACATGGATGTGAATGACTATGCTATCATGAGTAAGTCAAAAAACAATTATTTGTGACCAACTTTAAAAAATATTTTCAATAGTAAACACTAATGGTTAGGATTTTAAAGTTTCTCAAATATAAAACACTTTATAGAATATGAAATAAACCCCAAAAAGACTTGAAAAGAAATGAGCAGTTAGAAAGTAATCTGCATACACTAATGTTATAAAAAAAAGTTACACTTTTGTCTTCTAACTCAGATCTCATAGTTTAAATGTTCATTTTCTTTCTTTACATTATGAATACATGAAGTACAGAGAAAAGTACTTTGAAGTGGCTACAGTTTCCAATTAAGGGCCAAGACACTGAAAATCCCTAGACAAACTGGTGTTTTTCAGTCTTTCTAATTTGTGTTATAACATGAATTTGCCAGTTCTTACAGTGTTGAATTATGTTCTGTCAATGTTGCATTATGGGTAAATGATAAACATATATCGGTTTCACAGTAAGCCAAAATTTGAATCTACTAACATTTTTCTATTATTTTAAAAATGTGTACTTTTCAAAACAGTATTAATGTGAAGAAAATGAGGAAAGTACAGGCCATAACTATAGCTTCCTTGATGCTTCTTGTTCTATGAATCCACCTTGTTGAAGATGTGGAGCCCAAGAACAGTATAGCAACATTAGCTCTCACAAACAGAAAAAGAAAAAAAAAAAGAAAAGAAACAAATAAAAAAATAGGGCTTCAACCATTCGTTCACAAATGTAATTTTAATCAGCCCACAGATCTCTGTGTTTAAATGCCAAGGCACTTTCTAAAGAACTGCATTCTCTGTCCCTCATTTGTGTTGGCATTAGTGTAGACAAGTTTATGACTTGTGGCCTGTAGCATTTCTCTATTTCATGTTAAGAAGGTACTCATTTATTTGTAACTAAGTCTTAATGGTGATGACTTGAAACCCTTTAATTAGACATATACAAGGAAGTTTTTTTTGCACTCCCCTCCTCCACAACAGGCACACACCAGAGAAGCACTGTCAAATGGAAAATTTAATCAACTTTAACTAACTGAAACAATATTAAAGCCTTGTCTTTCCTGATAGATTGGTTAGTCTAAACATACAGGGGTGAAAAAGTGAATTTGGCAAGAAGAATTGTGAATACAAGCTTAACGTACATGAGTTGTTAACAATTGATCATTATCTCTACTCTCTGATCTTTGCTTTGATTTCTTAAACATTTAACATTTAGAAGATATATGAAGAAAGGAAAAGTGATAGCAGGGATTAGATCTGGCTTTGAATAGTTGACTTTTCCTTAGCTTTTTCAAAGTAGATACCTTCACTAGAAGCCTCAACATTACTGTCACCATCAATTTTATGAACATCTGATGGATTTTTGTCATTTTGCCTCAAGCGATAGCTTTTATAAGCACGCTGAATGATGGTTGCTGAGACTGCCTCTTGTTTTCGTTTCAGAGTAGTTGCAATTGGTTCATATGTGATTTTAAAAGGATTGGCTAACATAAACCCTGACTCTATCTCTGAAAGGACTTTCTCCATCTTCACGTCTTTTCCCATAACTCTTTTTGTGAGAGCAAGTAAGATGTCAAGGCAATGAATTCTGTCTCCAACAGCCATGGGAAGATCCATAGCAATGAGTTGGCCCTTGTTTGGTTTTGCCATGCAAAGAGGAGGATCAAGAGCAGCTGCGAGATCTGACAGCTTGCTAGAGTCTATGTACTGGGTACTGTCAGGATCAAACCTCTTCCATACCTGAAAGAATTTCCTAAAATCAACTTCGCTCAAGGTCCTGGCTTTTTTCTTAGAGGCAATACTTAAAAACTCCATGATCACTACAATATACATATTAACAATGATCAGCCATGATATGAGGATGTAACTGACGAAATAGAAAATCCCAACAGAAGGGTTGCCACAATCTCCTCTAACCTGTGTCCCAGGGTTAATTTTATCAGGATCACAATCAGACCATTTACTGTTGAAAATTGCATTGAGCATCCCATCCCAACCAGCAAATATTGTAACTTGAAAAAGACAGAGCATACTGCTACCAAAGGTTTCAAAGTTGAACATGTCATCAATTCCAGCTTCTTTTTTAACATAAGCAAAGTTGTACATTCCAAAGATGGCATAGATGAACATGACTAGGAAGATGAGAAGACCAATGTTCAACAATGCTGGGAGGGACAGCATCAAAGGAAGGATTAGATTACGGAACACCTGTGGTCCTTGCCCAAGACGCAGAATGTGAATGACTCGAGAGAGAAGTATCAGTTGCACAAGTGAAGGAGGCACAACGTAGTATCCTATTGTCAGAGGCACCATTAGTCCTTTGTTTGGGAAAAGAAAAAAGAGATAAGAAAATTGCCTAAATACAATTGTATTTATAGGAATGTAAATTATTTTGCACTTAATTTTTCTATATTTTCCTAATCCTTTATTAATCACTCCCTTTTAGCAGCGCATTGAAAGTTTGGACTAGCTAAATACTAACTGATCAGGGCATCTAGCAAAAGTTAGAAGAGAATTCTCTGCACTATCATTTAAGAGGATTATATAACAAGTACTTCTGAAATCATAGATGACTTGAATCTATAATTTAGGATGGTAGTCACAATTATTTTCTGATTGCTGTTGAATTAAAAAATTTACTTCAAACTATATTGACTGCTTTACAAAAGTATCATACAAATATACAAAGGTATATTATATGATTGCTAATTTCAAAGATTTTATAATTTAGTAAATAATGATAGATATTTTTAATGTGTATATATGGATATATAAATGTATATAAAATATATAATGCAAGGTAGAAAGACTTAACTTATAAATATAATTACAAACATGTCTGATGTTCAGTCACTACTATAGATTATAATTTACCATAATTTATTTGCTTCACAAATAGTATTTGAGTGCCAGAAGCTTTAAACGTGAATTAAATAAATGTTTCTTTAGAACTTAAGGATGGTTCTTCTGGAGTTGGGAAGGTGGTATAAGGGAGAATCCCGTGAAGCATCTAAACAAGACCATAATTTACTGACAGAGAGTATCATGCTTCACATGTCTACTAAACTTAGTCACTGCTAAGATGACATTCTTCATAGCATTCTATTCTATCCCTACCCTCCATACTGCTTTAGTGAATCTTCCACTCTAACCAAATTTCCCATTTCTCCTTAATCTTCTAAATGCTCTCATTATTTAAGAGGTATCCTCATTTAATGGTAAACAAATTCTCAACATGCTTACCACTAAATTTTTAAACTCTTTTTCTTATCTAAAATCTGACTGTACCTGATGACATTATTTCCTGTGCAATATTTTGACACCCAGGCAGCTCATTCTCCCCTACTTTATGTTTCTCAGGGAAGAAAGATGGAGAAAGTATCTATTTTCCCAGTAAGAAATAGAGAATAGGAATCATATCATGCTATTAGTTCCCATTATTTTTATTAAAAGATAAATTTCTGACACTTTGTGGATCATTCTACTCAGCTATACTACTTCCTACTATTCCTCGTCTCTGTGATCCACTCTTTCCTCCTCACTTAAATTCATTAGAGGCTTCAATAATCAGCTTATTTTCTCTCGTTTGACCTCAACATTTATCATCAACAACCTATTCAAAAGCCAGCCTTTTTGTCTTTGACCTTTTTAATTTTAATAATTTTATTATTTTAATAGTTACAGTCCACATTCTTGACCCAGGATACTGGGGCTTTAAATTCAAACAACTTTCTCTCTGGCTGCCATTTTTTCCCTGCTTTCATCTCCCTGAGTAAGTAATTCTCACTTTAGCTATATAATTCCCTGTGTTCTTCCTATCATGTACTTTTCTACTAAGCTTCTTCTTTGCTTTATTTTTTTTCTTTTCATTCTTTTTAAGAAGTTTGATTTCCCAAGTTTTTTTTATTTTTCCTCAGTAGTCAGTGGCATTACTTTACTTATCAACCAAATGAGTGAATTTTCTTGAAGCACATTCAGGCAGATGGTTTCTCTACATTTTCCAGTACTAAATCCATAGAATAGTGCTTCACACAATAAACTCTTAAATACTGACCTTACTTTTGTGGATCTTACATCATGGTATGCATGGTATGCAGCAAACAAAAGAAGTTTCTTTCTGCTTAATATTTTTGCCTTATCTGATTTCTTATCTCTGCCTTATCTGATTGTTTCTATTTAAATTTCACTAGTTATTCAATGCTTTTTCTGACCTCCATTTACTGGGTAGGGATCCCTCCTCTGCTTCCTTTATCTTCTCCTAATAGCATAATATTAAAATGTATTGTCAGTTACTTGTAGTCTTTAATGATTATATACTATGTGACCACAGGAGTAATGCTTCTCTTGTTTACTTCTGTATTCTTTGCATACAGCACAATATCCATTTACAAAGAGGATAATTAAATCTATTTGTTAAATAAGAATGAGATTACTAAAATAAAAGAGAAGTAGTGACAAATTCATAAAACTTAAAATTCTAGTGTTGAAATTTTGTAAACAGTTTTTGAACCGTAGAGAAAAAAGGAATAATAGTGAGCTTGAAAGTTGCATCATTCTAAGACATAAAGATTCTTCTAATGTCAACCTTGAGTATGTTACATGCTAAATGGATAATCAAGCATTTATCAGTGGTTTGTGACATAAAGTCTAAGCTATTAGTTCAGGAAATATATTTTTAACATTTTATATCTTTCAGGTATGTGCACACACATATATGGATGCAAAAATGAGGGCATTCTTGTTGAAAATAAAAAAGTCCCCACTTGTTTGCCCCTTAAGAGACTATACTTTGAGAAACTATAATAGTTTGACTCTTAAATGCTATTACCAATGAAAATATGACCAAACAAAATATTACCTGTAATGGAGAAAATTACCACCATAAAATCAAAAATGTTCCATATAATGGTAAAATAGTAACAACGGAATGAGATGAGCTTCAGTATACATTCGCCACTATACAGTGTAACAAAAATTAATTCAAACCAGAAGACTGCAATGTCCATTTGGAGACTTTGTTCATCACTTTGTATCATAATGGTTATTTCTTGGAAACAGATAAGAACCATGATGATGACATTAAAAACTGGATGTGTTACCAAATCAAAAATGAAGCCTTGGAACTTGTTCTGTGGGTAAAGAAAATAATTGTAATAGTTTTATTAAAAGGTATATATTAGCACACATAGTCTTACTCTTATTTATTTATTTATTTTGGTGTTGCGGATCAAACCTGGCATATGCTAAGCAAGTGCTCTACCACTCAGCTAAAAAGTCAACCCATACATTCAATCTTTAGATTCTACAAGCTTCCTCCCAAAATAGGTGAATAAGTAAGGCTCTAAGCTTTTAACAAACTATAAATACAATATATAGTCAAGACAATACACGAAAAAAATGATCATTTGTCAATGAACATATTTTTATAATTTTTTTATAAATGTTATCAAAAAACATTTGTTAAAACTTTCATTTATTAAAGAGAATAAAGAAAGGAAACTTTTTTTGAAGATTCAAAAAAATTTAGATGTTTTCTTACTTTTGGGCGAGGTACTGGTATTGGAGCATCTTCGTACATCAGCCTCTTCAGTGCACGGTATTGTTTTTTCTGTTTCACTGTTATAAAAATATTTGAGCCTCCCTGGTACAAATTAAAGAAGAAAAACATTAAAATCATGTTTAACACAAATAGTTCCTTATATTAATATGTATTTTAGAAAAGGTGGCAATTATTGACTTAATTCTTTACAAAAATCTTGTTTGAAGATGTTTGACTTTCTATACAAAAATCCATATCAGATACAAGTGCTATTCGCTGGTAGTGGGTTATATTCAGCAATCTTTTGGAACACTTTCCTATGTGTAATCAACCCTGTTTTCACTTATCAGTCTTCCAAAGTATTCCTCTTTTTAGAGAAGGACAAATGAGAAATGGGATATCTGGAAAGGTTTAGTAGGGAGAATTTAACTCAATGGGTAAAGACAAAGTTTAAACAAATAGAGATACACAAAATTGGTCAAATGTGTATGTTTCTATCCATACACTCTCTATTTTATAAACATTACTGGGAGACTTTTTCTTATTATTCCAAAATTACCTTGTGCTAAAATCTTCATAGCACTTTCTAGAACTGATGAATTTTTGTTTCTAGTACTAATTCTAGTATGCCATATAAAATATATCAAGTGGATGTTACATTAATCTAGCAATTAGAAATTGTTAAAGTCTTAAATCAGAATCTGGTCAGTTAAAACTGACAGGGGGACTGGCAGAGTGGCCCAAGTGGTAGAGCACCTGCCCAGCCAGTGTGAGACCCTCAGTTCAACCCACACTACTGAAAAAAACAAACAAACAAACAGAAAACTCTCACAAGGATCACTAACATGAAGCTTAAAGCAAGGAGCAAATCTTAGTATGTTATCCTAGTGGATTGAAGGCCTTAGTAAGGTGAAGCATGCAATCAAAACCATGTTTGGTCACTGAGCTCTCTGCGAAGCGCTGATTAGAGGAGTCCAAGAATGCTGTATTAGACTTTGCACATGGCTCCAGCCTGATAACATTATTGTAAATGGAATTTCAAAGTTTTTCTTTCTTTTGATTTTTTGGTAAGTCTTTCCTATTCTTGATAGAAAATAGAAAATAGGTCACTGGTAGGCCGCCTAATTGAACTTAGATGCCTTTTGAAGCCTTTACATTTGTGGAAGCTTTAAAGGAGTACTTCTACAGAATGGCACCAAACAGTGGTTGTTTAATTCTGTTTCTGAATTCTCTATCATTGATTCAAGCACTCCCGTTGAGGTCATTCAACTAGGATTTACGACTTTTTTCTATTTCTAGCAGAAAGAGTTACTCTAACTTAGAAATATGCCCATGCTGCCTATGACTGTGAAGAATTCAAAAATATTAGAGTAAAAGAGTATTTTGGGGTTAGGGGCAGGCATAGTGTCATACATATATACTGTCAGCACTTGGGAGGCCAAGGCAGGAGGAGCCTGAATTTGGGGCTAGCCTAGCCTATATAGTGAGACCCTGTCTTATAAAAAAGAAGGAAAGAGAAAAAAATAGAAAGGAAGGAAAGAAGGAAGAATTTTTGAAATCTTCATATACTGATTAGACACACCACAATATTATTCATTTATTTCTCAACATATCATTATTTATAAAACACACATACAGAAACATGAGTAATTTATAACTCACCTGAGCATATTTTGAATATTGAAAGCAAGGCAAGGTAACATTTTAGCGATGTTTCACAATGTGCTAGAGCATCAGTCATTATTTTATTAGATAAGTACCAAATAAAAATTAAGTTAGGCTAAATTTAAAGCCAGTTACTTGAAGCTGGGCATTTTAAGAAATGTGTCTGATTTTTAATGATATTTATTTATGAACAAAGAATATTTATACTTATCTTTACTTTGTGCTTGTTGAAATTAGCAATAATAGCACCAATCAGCATACTTAGAGGGAGAAATAATCCAAAGATAATAAAGCTGAGAAAGTAAAAATACACGTAGCGGTTGTTTTCCAAAGAGGGCTGCATATTTACCTAAAATTGAATTTAAAAATAAAAACAACATTGATATCAACTTTAAATAAATGTTTTATAAAACAATTTATGATTAGAAAATCCAATAATGCTATGTGAAGTAATGCTTTCTCTTTGCTCATTGATGAAAGAATGTCATTGCTTTATTTGGATTTTTAAAATCTCTTTCATTGATTTAATTATTGCTGCAGATGTGCTCATTTTCAAATAAGTCTTTTGGGCTTCAATCACTGTACATATTCTTAGAAAGATTTCATTGTCCATGAAATACTCAGTCTGAAATGTATTTAATCTTTATAAATTATTGCTTGTGTCCTGCACAAGTTGGAAAAATGACTCTTCTTGGACATTAACAATGCCTTTAGATTATATTGTACTTACACCAACGGAATCAATTGCTGAGTTCATAATAGAGATCCATCCATTAAATGTTGCCTGTGATAAATAAAAAGTAAAGTTCAATTGTTAATACAGTATAACATTTCTTACTGAGGCTTGCCACCCTACAAATATAGTATATAATTGAGGAATTCAACATTTTCATTGCTAGATTATCTATTAATTCTGTTACTTTATTTATGCCTAATAACAAAATACTTAAGGTAGTTTAAATAGAAAAAGAGAAAATAGGAGAATAGGTAGGTAAATGGTAAATAAATACACTGTCAAGGATCACAGTTCGTTGTAGCTCTTATGTCTGTGCTTTACTACATGATAAATAAGAGAGGAATGGCCAACTTCTTCAATCTACAAGATACTGTATCAAAAGTAGTAATTCCTCAAAGCAGTATTAAATGGAATAAAAATAGAAGTAACCCAAGTTGGGCCAAAAAACTGTAGTCTTATTATCTGAGCCTACCATAGTATATCCCATCACATCCCATTCTGTAACCAAACATACTAGTCATCCACATTCTGTCCTTTGTATTCAACCTAAATACAATGAACATAGAATTGATTTGTAAAAGGTGAAAAAGTGTACTTACTACTTGAAGCAGAGAAAGGAAGCCATTTCCAACATTATCAAAGTTCATTTTTGCATTCTCCCATGGCATGGTTTCATTAGACAAAAGGTTTTCACATTCACTCTTATTCATAACTTCAAATACAGGAAACCTTTCTCCACTTGTTGGGTCGATGCATCCATAGAAAGTGCCAGCAAATAAGTGTACTCCGATGATGCTAAAAACCAGCCAGATCATAAGGCAGACCAGAAACACATTCAAGGTGGGCAAAGTCGTTTGTATCAATGCTCTCACAACCACCTGGCATATAAAAATATGTATATGCAAACTTTAGATAAGAAATATGAAACTATTTTAATTCCTGATCAAATTGAAAATTTTGATTTAACGTTATACTGGAATGAAACAAAAAGGTCATACCTAAAGATTTAATAGTCCATGTGCAAGTACTGGATTAACTAAGTAGCAACTCGGTTTCAATAAAAATATGCATTAAAAGTCATGATATTTTCAAATTATTTATAGTAAAACATCATTAAGAGGCAACAGAGCCAAACAGTAAAAGTACCAGAATAAATCCTTATTTCACTGATTTAACATAAGCTTACTGAGTTTTTATAGGGGCAGAAATGGTCACAGTATAGGTACTTAAATTGTGTGCATATATGAAGATACTTAAAACTGTGTGTATGTATGACATTATCTAGAATGTATATAAAATAAGTGAAAATGGGCAGAGAACTGTCTTAAGGACTACAACCTTCCCTCCCCCAGCCATTACTAAATACTTATATTTTGCTTATACTTTATTATTTATATGTCATAGTTTTCTGTCCTTGATATTTTGACTCTAATTAGGCTTTTAATCACTTATATTTGAAACAAAGACATGCTTTTTGTTGATACTCTGCAGTTATTCTGAAAGATTCACTAATGCTTTTGCTGTAAAAAATACTGAATCCATCAGAAAAATCTACTTATTTGAGGACAAAAGCAGTGGATATGATTGACACAAGTATTTGTGTAGTAAAGAGCATCTATGACTTATTAGATACATAAAAGACTAATTTTTTAAGCATGTAACTCAACGATAAACAGTTTGTGTGGGAAAAATTTAACTACAGAACTTTCAGAGTAGATCTGACCTTGATCTAACCATGGTTATTATTTTTGTGATCTTATTACCTCATTGACATTCTAATGAGTATATGGCATTGAATGTTGTAGTGCTTACTTTCTGACAAAAGAGATGTTTTCTGTATAAAATCTTTTTCTGCTTTTCTCTAAGTCGTGGGTGGACAACTTCTTTTTGTAGCACTTTTTTCACCTATCAAAACTAATTAGGGAAATATTTTACCATCATCTCATAATTTATTAAAATGAAGCTTTTAAAATTTATTTTCACTTGAGTTGTGTGCATGTGTGTATGTGTGTATGTATGTGCTGAGGCCATTGTTGTGGTCTTAGAATATGAAGATTCACTATCACTAAACTGTATCCTTGCTGGAAATTTGGCTGTTTTGTCATTTAATCTTCACTCTTAGAGAACTCTTCAGTGACTTTCTCTTTCTCAACTTGTTTGTTTGAGTTTGTTTTGGTTTAAAAGCACTCTGTGATACTTAATGAAATCAGTTTTTTCAGTTAAGATATAAATTAAAATTGCTATTTTACATTTTTTTGTTTTAGATGTCTAATAATTAGAATTTTGCTATATTTGCAACATAATCAGAATATTTCTTTCCCAACCTCAGTAAATCAAATGCATTTGGGAAATAGATTGATCTGGAAAGTCCTGTGATAATGAGATATGCATAGATTCATATGAATTACAAAATATTACCAATCATAAAATTACTACATATATTGAAATAGAATTAATGTGCTTATTTAACGATACTTAAATATGATGTAAAGGTATTACTACAAAAATATTAAAATTTCTGAATTTTTTAATGCATGTATTTTAAGTAATTTATATTTCTTTTTGGATTTATAGTAATCACTCAAGTTTTGAGGTTAAAACTCCCTTTTTCATCAAGTGAAATTTTAAGTGTATGATTTCTTAAAAATAACAGCTTAATGTAATATATAAATTGTAAGCTACAAAAATAATACAGCTTAAAAATGAATAATTTTCTTATATGATCCTGCCATAGCATTGAATATGTGATATTAGGCAATAGCAATCAAATTAGACAGACTGATGTTAAATAATCTACATAAATTATAAACACAACTATATGATTTTGAAACGAAAAGTGTAATTGGATTTTTTCCCTCCATTTCTGCCTAACCAATCACTGTATGTTGACATAATTCTACTACTTGCGGTGATAATTGACTCCATTTGTTAAATTACGTTGAGTCATATGAGTTTTCCATTATACCTTCAAAAGACAATATTGGCCATTTGATATGGTTGAATGTATTCGTTTTCTGCACATTTGTCAGAAAAGGCTTTAAAATAGGAGTGAGGGAGAAAGGAAAATTAAGAATTAATAGTGTATGACACTTATTTATGCTCACCTAATTTTCAACAAAGGTGCTCAAAACATATGATGGAGAAAAGACAGCCTCTTCAACAAACGTTGCTGGGAAAACTGTTTGCCTGCAGAAAACTAAAACTAGATCCATGCCCATCACCCTGTATTAGTACCAACTCAAAGTGGATTAAGGACCTTAACATCAGACCTGAAACCTTGAAGCTAGTATAGGAAAGAGCAGGGACTATATTGGAAGCAGCAGGCATAGTCAAGGACTTCCTCACTAGAACACAGGCAGCTCAGCAACTAAGAGAAAGGATCATCAAATAGGACTACATGAAATTAAAAAACTTCTGCACAACAAAAGAAATGGTCTTTAAGTTGAAGAGGCCACCCACAGAATGGGAGAAAATCTTTGCTAGCTATACATCAGAAAAGGGACTGATAACCAGAATATACAGGGAACTCAAAAAACTAAACTCCCAAAAAAATCAATGACCCAATAAAGAGATGGGCAACTAAACTAAAGGAAGGATTTCTTCAAAGGAAGAAGTCCAAATGGCTAAAAACCACATCCCTGGCCATAAAAGAAATACAAATGTTGACGAGGATGCAGAGAAAAAGGAACCCTCATACACCGCTGGTGGGAATGTAAGGTAGTATAATCACTTTGGAAAACAATATGGAGGCTTCTTTAAAAACTAGAAATAGATCTGCCATATGATCTAGCATTCCCACTCCTAGGGACATAACTGAGAAGTGTGACTCAGGTTACTACAAAGGCATTTGCACACCCATGTTTATTGCAGCACTATTCACAATAGCCAAGTTATGGAAACAGCCAAGATGTCCCACTACTGACGAATGGATTAAGAAAATGTGGTATTTAAACACAATGGAATTTTATTCAGCCACAAAGAAGAATGAAATTTTGTCATTCACAAGTAAATGGATGGAACTGGAGAACATCATCTTAAGTGACTTTAGTCAGGCTCCTATGGGTCGCACTAAGGGGAGACAGTGCAGGAGAGATAGGGCAAGAGAAGGAAACCAAAAATTTTAATGTGGTTTGAATGAGCTCACTGAATAGGAATAAATACAGTAATCTTAAACTGGCAGAGGCCACTATGGGAAGAGGACTAGGGAGTAGTGAAGAGGTCTGGTAGAGATGAACCAATGTAGGTTGTATACATATATGCATGGAAACAACACAAGGAATCTCCCTATATAGCTACCTTTATCTCAAACTAGCAAAAATGTCATGTTTTTCTTGTTATCTTTTATGTTTTCTTCTTCTACAAAATTGGAGAACAAGAGGCAGAAAAGGTTCTGCCTGGAGGAGGTGGGGGGGGCGTTTCAAATAATGTACACACATGTAAGTAAATGCAAAACTGATACCTGTAAAGACTGTTCCTGGAATTGGGGTAGGGGAAATGAAAGAGAGCAGTGGAGGGGGGAAGAGAATTCAAATGTGATATATTTGATACATTGTAAGAACTTTTGCAAATATTCCAATGAGCCCCCACCCAGCACAACAATAATAAAAAAAGTGTGAGATGTATGATGTTTTAATATAAGTAAAATTATTTTAAAATTTAAACTTTTCTTTCATTCAGTAAGTACTTAGTTTGTATATGTTCTTATACTTTAAAATGTTAATTAATTAAAGCTTCATTTTCTGATAGTTACATTTTTTGGGGGATACAAGTTACATTTTTTAAATGGAGATATTATCAATATTCATATATATCTATGTGGGTTAAAAAGATACCATTTTTGAAACTATATGTTGTCTCTCAATTAAGTTTTGTTCTGCTTATTTTTATTAGTTTTCATGTTCCATGAGCAATAAATACCTAAAATTGTAAAAAGCATAACCACCATACCTTTCCCCTCTTTTTATGAATTAGAATAAAAGGTTTTAGTCATATTGATAATGCTAAAGACATAGGTGAGAGTAACAAAACTTGTTAATTTGTAGAAATTTAGCAATCACAAATAAAAACTGAGACATTAGAAGTTTTTATCTTACCTTTATTCTTTCAAATTGAGATAGAACTCTAAGGGCCCGAAGGAATTTAATGGAAGTAAGTGGTTTTAGTTCTTCCTGAGTTTTTCCTATTAAGCTAAGACAAAACACCTACACATATTTAAAAAAAGAGTTAATATAACCATAATAATTGAAATAGTATGTAAAATGAACTTGATATTTATTATTATATGGTGCAGTCAATAAACTACTGATAAATCTTTGAAACATTTTAATGTATATTTAAAAATATCTTAGCAATGACAACAGAATATTATAAGAAAATCATTTTGTATTAAAATCATTTAAAAATTAAAATAAAATATTTTCAGGATAATGAAGAACTGTTATTGAAATAAAAATATATTTTAAATGTTTTGTGATCAATAATTGATATTTAAATCTTTTTAAATTTGAAATTAGATTAAGAATCAGTTTCATGATTAATTGCAATACCATAATGATAAGCAAAATATTCATTAAAGCAAGATTTGGAATATATTTATGCATTCACTTATATACAATTACAATTAGAAAATATACAGAATAGAGTTCAGAAGTCAGGCACCAAGAAGGATATGAATATCGTTAAATCAAAAGTATAAATTATAGAAAGTATAAAAATACATTGAAGTGACTTTTTTGGTAACAAAGTAGCAGTAAAGTTTATTAGGAAAGGAATTTAGTGTAATAAGATAAAAGTGGGAAAAAAGGAGAAACATTTCTTTTTCCCCATGCAGGAAATGGGAGTAGACATTCTTTGAAGTGATTTTTAAAGTAAATATATATATATGTATATATATCTATAAATATGTATATATATATAATTTAGGATTAATAAATACTAATTTTGATTAAGTAAGTTTGATGGAGTGCTGATTAACTTTTATTGTATCTTCATATTTTCTATATCTTCAAGTCAACATAGATGAACATGCTTTGCTTTTTTCTTCTATACTAAAGAGATGGACTTGAAGAGGGCTTTAAGGTGTGGAAGTCATTTATATAAGCATAGGGCATAGAGGGATGTGGACAAATAAAATGACTAGGACACGGGGAGGTGAGATTTAGCTATAGTGTGGTTTGACTGGTGTAGAAGGTTAATTTAGAAGACAGAGGTCTACTGTTGCAGGTCATTAATTACAGACTGAAGAGTGTTTTCCATCATTGTTTGTAGACTAGGTAGGTATTTGTTCATTCAACAAAAATTATTACTACTTACTATGTGAAAGGAATTGTTCAAGGCAGAGGGTTAGATAAGGGAGGGAAGCAAACTGTGAAAAAAAATCTGTTCTTATAGAATTTATCTTTTATTGAGAGAAGGCAAATAGCAAGCAAAACAAATGAATTAAGTGGATAATATTAGTAAGTGCTATAGTAATGAATAAATATAACCAAGGGAGTATTAGAGTGGCTGCAATTTTAAATAGCCAGTTTTTTACTTTAAAGGTTTCATTTCACCCCATGACATAAAAGCCAGCAAAATTCCAGGTGGAATAATAAGTGCAAAGACACTAGGATGGCTAGGTTGAGGAGATTCAAGAAGTCAGCTAGTAGATCAATGTATGAACTGGAAACACAGAAGGGAAGAAGCAAGAGACAAGATCAAATCATGTTGAGACTTATTGGTCTTTAATTATAAAGACTGTAACTTCTGCTCTGACTGAAATGGGGTATTTATTACAGGGTTCCAAGAGGAAAAGCAACATGAACTGACACCTTTTCTACAATGGTCACTCTAGTTGTTACATGGAGAATAAATGAAGATGTAAAGTGGCAGGAGCAGAGACACCAACTTAGAATAAATTGTAGTTTTCAAAACAAGAATTTATGATACTTGGAAACTGGTGAAAGTTATGTATGACATAACTTATTTATGACATAATAGTCATAAGTTATGTATGAATTGTGAATAGATTATTTAAATTTTAAGTTAATAGAATTGAAAAGTTTTAAGTTGTTAAATTTTTCAAGATATCGTGCTACAAGCTATTCTGTTACTAGTGGGTTCATAATTGACTTTTTGCACTAATCCAGGAGTGTAGCTTTGAGACATTTTAGAATGATACAATATAGACAGCTGTGAAACATTACAGATGAAGAATACTAGGATGTTGGTGACTAAAAATGTAAGAGAGAGGGAAAAAGGAGATACAAGTCATGAAGGGGTAAGAGTAAAGGTGACAGTAAATTAAAAGTAAATAGCTTTCAAGGTTTTTCTTTAAAATACGTACAATAACAACCATGAAATCCAGCTTGTACCAGCCATTGGAAAAATAAGCTTTAAAACCATATGCCATCCACTTTAGAAGCATTTCCAGAATAAAGATGTAAGTGAAGATCATGTCAGCATATTCTAACAAGATTTTAATAGTCTTTCGTTGATCAATGTATATATCTTCAAAAGCCTGTCAATAAAAAGTTTAAGGATTACCATACATGTAATTTCTAAAAACTCTAACATAGAAGGGAGTTAAATGCCATCTCAAATTAGAAAATATATATAACTAAAGGTAAAGAATGATATTTCATAATTTTGAAGAAGTCAATCTCACATAAATCTATATTCACAAAATAATATGTAATGAAAATATATTTTTAAAAAATAGAATTAAAAGATTTAAAAAATTTTGAGTCATAGTAGAATAATCTTATGTATTCTTTTTAAATTTTAACACAGCTTTTATTTAGTTTGATTACAGCATGAATTTTAGTTTTAAAAGAATGGTTTAAACCACAACAAAGGGTTTTTTTGTTTTGTTTTGTTTTTTGGCAGTACTAGGGCTTGAACTCAGGGCCTCATCCTTGCTAGGCAGGTGCTTTACCACTAGAGCCACTTCACCAACCTTTCATGCATTCTCTCTATAACTAATAACACAACAGACAAGAAAATTTCACTACACTAGAAAAGATATAGCATATAGACCCAAAAGAAATAAGATGGCATTATTACACCCAACACATCATATGACATAGACTTTTAAAACACATATTGAATACTGTAGATATTGTCATTGATTCTGGAGTTGTTCAGCAATATCACCTTCACTGACAGAATCTACCCATTCTACAGCAACTATGCATGTTGCCTCATAACACTGAAACTCTCTAGAGAATTGTTTCTGCCAAACAAAGGAAGTAGTATTTCCACTCCTGGAGGGACATTCTTAAAATGATATCTGACCAACAGAGTGATACAAACTGTTCACTCTAGGTGGATATCTGTGGTGTATTCTGGACTCCAGAGTTGCCCTGTAAGATCAAACTGAATCCAGTCCTGTTTCAGGACCATGAAGAAGCTTTCAATGAGGGAGCAGTCTTAACAAAAACCTCTTTAAAATCTACTTTCAACTCCCTCCTTGGATGCCAGTGGTATAAGTAGCGTCAAGTCTCTTCATAAAGTAATAGGGGAATTATTGACATTGTTAAGGAAGGAAAGGGAGTATACTCCAGAAGACCTTGTACATAGTTAGGTAGTAATATGTACTGGAAAAAAGTGCAAGAGTATGCCTAGGTATAAATCCTAAATAGGATGTTCCTTACCTTCCTATCACTGTTATAATAGATTATTTAAAAATTTGGTGTCTAAGAGCAAAAGAAATGCAAACTGTTGTAATTCCTGAAGTCAAATGTCTGCAATAAGTTTCACTGGTCTAAAGTCAAAGTGTATGGTGAGCTAATTCTTTTATAAGGAAGAAAGAAGAGGAGAGATTCCATTTCCTTTTACAGCATTTAATGGCTGCCTACATTCCTTAGCTTGTGTCATCCTTCTCCATCTTCAAACTACCCCACTCCAACTTCTGCTTCCACCCTCACATCATCTTTTCTTGACTTGACTCCTGCATGTCTTTTGTAAGGATCATTGGGATTACTTGAGGTCCACTTGGAGAGCAAATAATAATCTCCTCATGTCAAGATCCTTCACTTAATCCTTCACTTAATTACATCCGCAATGACCTTTTTGCCATATAAGTTAGTACACACAAGTTCTGAGTACTATGGCTTGGACATATTTAGGGAACTTTATTCAGTCTACCACCAGCTAGATCAAAAGAGATTGAGAATAAAGTTGGGTAAGAGGGCAAGTATGTTGCAATGAAAGCACTCTCCAGTGCCTTTGGAATTAATGTCATGTTTGCCCAATATGTTGATGACATCATGCAAATCAGACCTTATCAACAAGAAATGAGAAGTTCTTTAGATGTTATGGAATGACATGCACTTTCTATCAATGTGAAAGAAGGATAAGGTTTGATGGTTCTCAGTCTGAAGGCAAAATTTCACATTGGACAATACTGATACAACCCATTTATTGGGTGACACCAATGACTTTTATTTTTTGGTAAGGCCTGGTGCAAGAAAATGTTCTAAAATAGGAGCCTACATTTCAATTAGCCTTCTTATTTGGACCATATGAAGATATCATGATACTGAAAGAATCTGTGATGGAGAAAGAAACTGTAGGCCATCTGGCAAGCCCACTTGGGTTATTTGTACTTTCCATTCCCTCATCTATAGGAAAAGTAGATTTAGATAGAGGTTTTTTTTTTTCCTAGCACATTGGGGCATTGGGCATTATGAGACATAATCTTCTAAATTAGAGTTAAGATGCTGTCTGGTCAATTTTAGATTTCTCTAATAATAAAAGAACTGCCAGGCTAAGCAGGTATCATTGACCCTGATCACCCTGAGGAAGAGGTGTGATGTAACAAAATAGAAGGAGGAAAAAATACACAAGTAAATAATGGTTGAATCTATTTTTATGAAATTCAAAAATGGACAAAACTGATCTATGGTAGTTTAAGTCCACATACTGGAAATAATTGTGAGGGAACAGAGTACAGATTTGGAATTCTGGTAATGTTCTGCTTATAAATCCTAGTGACAGCAATACAGGTGCATTCACTTTGTGAATATCATACATGCTGGACATCCATAATGTGTAAAGAATACAGTGTACAGTATGCATGATAAATGCCAATCTAAAATTTACTTTAAAAGCACCCACAGTGCAAAGTCTGTTTCCCAACCATGACTTCATCTACTCTGTGCTAGGTCTCTGATCTTTAAACAAATGCCAACAAATTCACTGCACATTTAGTTATTTTTTCCTTGCCTATGTAAAATGCATCCATAGACTTTATTTATTTATTTTTATTTTTTTTAATTTTATTTTTTTCTTTTATTTTTTATTATTCATATGTGCATACAAGGCTTGGTTCATTTCTCCCCACTGCCCCCACCCCCTCCCTTACCACCCACTCCACCCCCTCCCTCTCCCCCCCACCCCCTCAATACCCAGCAGAAACTATTTTGCCCTTATTTCTAATTTTGTTGTAGAGAGAGTATAAGCAATAACAGGAAGGGACAAGGGTTTTTGCTGGTTGAGATAAGGATAGCTATACAGGGTATTGACTCACATTGATTTCCTGTGCGTGGGTGTTACCTTCTAGGTTAATTCTTTTTGATCTAACCTTTTCTCTAGTACCTGTTCCCCTTTTCCTATTGGCCTCAGTTGCTTTTAAGGTATCTGCTTTAGTTTCTCTGCGTTAAGGGCAACAAATGCTAGCTAATTTTTTAGGTGTCTTACCTATCCTCACCCCTCCCTTGTGTGCTCTCGCTTTTATCATGTGCTCATAGTCTAATCCCATTGTTGTGTTTGCCCTTGATCTAATGTCCACATATGAGGGAGAACATACGATTTTTGGTCTTTTGAGCCAGGCTAACCTCACTCAGAATGATGTTCTCCAATTCCATCCATTTACTAGCGAATGATAACATTTCATTCTTCTTCATGGCTGCATAAAATTCCATTGTGTATAGATACCACATTTTCTTAATCCATTCGTCAGTGGTGGGGCATCTTGGCTGTTTCCATAGCTTGGCTATTGTGAATAGTGCCGCAATAAACATGGAGGTGCAGGTGCCTCTGGAGTAACCTATGTCACAGTCTTTTGGGTATATCCCCAAGAGTGGTATTGCTGGATCAAATGGTAGATCGATGCCATAGACTTTATAGTAGACCTTTTTGTTTCACTTCCCCATATCTTGGAATATTTAGCTGTTATATTGTAAAAGAAATTGCACAATATTCCACTGGGAGATTTTATTTAAGCAATTTCCTATCATGGACTCTTCCCCTGACTCAACCTTTGTTATTAGAAAACATTTTTCAGTGAGCAGTCTTGTAAATGCAGATAGTACTTGTGCAGATATTTGTAGGATAACGTCCCATAATTAAGATTGTTGAATTGAAAGGTAATTACATTTGTAGCTCAAAGGCCCTTATAAAGACATATAATATTTCCCTTTCCTTGTAGAATAGTTTCCTAGAGTACAAGCATAATACAACAATTTTGGATATTCAAATTATTAAGTTGTTTCATAAATAAAAATTCATTAAAATTAGAAGGATTGAGTATTTATTTTCATACCCTTTTCCCATTGTAATTCATACATTTTAAATTGTTATTTATTTAATTTTGATACTTAAATTTAATATTAAATATAATAGCAAGTGAATCATGCATAAGCAGATTTTCTAGGAAATTATAACATAAGGTTTCCAAAACTAAATCACAGAATCTAGTGTTATATTAAGTATTCTTAGAAAAATAATCTGGCAAGGTGACTTTCTGAATTAGCAGAATTATAATATATTTGTTCCCATAAAAGTATAATAAACCTGATAGCTCACTTACCAGAGTGCCTGTGCTAAGCAGAGTGACGAGACCAATGAAACACCGAAACCAATTGTTTTCTACTATCTTGCAGCAGGTTTTCCTTATGTTTTGCCAGATTTTTCCTTTCTGAGATTCTCTACTGATTTTACCAGGTGAAGATCTCTGTCCAAAACCTGTCAGAATGTAACTGTTAAGAATAAAAATCTAGAAAACTCATGAAAAATAAACATCTCAAACTATAATATATGCCTTAGCAACTACTTATTTAGTGATTCTAACTTAGGTGGTCCCTGATTTGTAAACATTTGATTTTTTACTCTGCTGTAGTTACTGTAATAACTGAGGAGAAAAAGAGAATCTTAACTTGTGGTTTGAAAGGAGTAGGAAGAAAGAAGCTGCAAAAAGCAGAGATGACTAAGAACATCCCTCCACCCTGCAGAACTATCTGAGAATACAATAAATCCCTCATTCTCACTAAAAAAACTACACACATGTGCAATTCTGAATTTTAACATAATGTCTCAAAAGTCACTCTCTACAGGTTCACTTGGCATAAGAAGCATTCCAATTTGAAAACATAAACACTTAAAAGACATTAAGATTTATATATTAAGTAAATTAAATTGCTTTGATTCTAGCTCTTAGGTGGCATGAAAATGGGAATTTGCCTGAGACAATTAAGGAGATAGCCTGGATTATGGAGCACTTTGTTGGACAATTAGATGTTTATGTGGATGTACTCTGTCTTCCTGTCAAGAGTTAGCAAAAAGAAAATATGAAGCTTGATGAGGCAGCAGTTAAAGGTAAGAAAACAAAGAAGGGGATGCACATGGAGTTTAAAGTCAAAATATTTGAGGATCCAAGATGGCAACTAGGGCACAGAAGCAGACAGTGTGAGTTCTGTAAATAAACAATCTTGCTGAGACACTGGAGAGACACTTGGTGGAAATAAACCACTAAGAAGAATCAAAACTTTGGCACTCTGAACACCTAGCCCATACAAAGCTTCTGCATGGCATGTTACACAGAAAACAGGAGGGCTCCCGCACTGCCAGACACCAACTCCAAACCTGTTTGGGAGACATTTGGCAGACCAACAGATGAGCACCAAGCATCACATGGTATTCCCCCAGCCACCCTTGGGATAAACCAGCAGAGCCCACTGGGCACACTGACCCCATGCCCTGCAAAAAAAACAAAAACAAAAACAAAAAAACTGAACAATAAACAAGGAACTAAAAACACACAGCAGAGGGGGTGGAGTGCTATGAGCACACCAGAGAAGGGGGGAAGAGCAAGAGAAGCTGATCTCCAGGCAAACTTTCAGTAAACAAATGACTGGAAAGGCAGAAGGGCAGACAGCAGGCAGGTGATAAGTGCTGCCTGAAATAGGGCAAGTAGCAGTTCACAAAGCTCATCTCCTGAGCCAGTGAGCAACATCCAAAGTCAAATGACACTGCAAAGTTGAAAAACAATCAGCAAACTATCAACACATGCTGACAGCAGGAGGCTGGCTAATGGCTCACAGACCTTGCCCCAGACAAAGGGGGTAAGACAAAGAAACAGTCCCCAGTAAACCAACACAGAGAAAACCCAACTGCAAAGCAGGACAGCTGGTGAGCTACAAAATTGATCTCTGGAACCTGAGTGAGGGGGTGCTGAGTAAGCAGCTGCCACTGAAATACAAAAGAAAAACTGGCGAGACTCCCCAGCCACCTGGCGAAACTAAGACAGAGCTTCTGCCTAAATATTCACACTAGGACTGGATGCTGAAGGAGTAACACCAGAACTACTAAGACCAAAATTCTATTGTTCCTGAACCTGGATTTTTTTGTATGTTTGTTTATTTGTTTGTTTTGTCTCTTGTTTTTTTGTGCTTGTTTGTTCATCTCTCCCCATTGATTTCTTTGATTTTTTTTTGTTTGTTTTGTTAGTTTTACAATTGTGAGTTAGCTAATACTAAATTGCACCCACATCAAGGACAGAAATAGCATATATACACTAAGCTAAAAACCCAATACACCCACAAAACAAAATTAAACCAAGGGAAAGAAAACAGGTGACTGAAACCACCAACAGCCTATCAAGAACATAGTTACACAGTACTAAGTGGAGCGATGGGAAAACGAAAAAGGAGTGGAAACCATTCTCCCCCCAAAAATAATTTAATACAAGATCCAGAGGGAAATGAAGAAAATGGACACCCAGTTCCTGACTCCAACAAAACAAAGATAAACAATGTCAAGGAACCATATGATGCCCAGAAGAACACTCCCAAAGAAGAAATCCTGCAAGTAATCACTGAGAACTTTATGGAGATGTTACTAGACATGGCCAACAAAAATGTACAAGATGCACTCAAGAAATTCCAAGACACCCAAAAAAATAAAAAGGAATATGAAAAGACACAGAAACAAATAAACAAACTCATAGGAGCCCTAAATAAACACCAAAGTGAAACAGAGAACACTGTAATTAGAGAGATAATTGAATTAAAAATGAAAATTGACAATATTAAAGAGGAAGTGACCCATCAGATGGAAAGATCAGAAAAAAGAATGAAACAAAAATACAAAACACAATGGAAGGCCAGACTAGAACAAGTGGAAGACAGAATCTCAGAACTTGAAGATAAAATGGAAATTAAAGGAAAAAACCAAAGAGCTATTAGTCAAACAACTCAAGACCTGTGAAAGGAATATGCAAGAACTCACTGACTCCATCAAAAGACCAAACCTGAGAATTATGAGCATTGAAGAAGGAGAAGAGGTGCAAGCAAAAGGAATTTGTAATATATTCAACAAAATAATATCAGAAAATTTCCCAAATCTAGAGAGAACTATGCCCATTCAGTACAGGAAACTTCCAGGATACCAAACAGACTTGACCAAAATAGAACTACCCCACGACATATTATCATTAAAACAACAAGCACAGAGAATAGAGAAAGAATATTGAAGGCTGTAGGAGAGAAAAAAACCAAATAAGATACAAAGATAAACTTATTAAAATTACAGTGCATTTCTCAATGGAAAACTTAAAAGCAAGAAGGGCATGGAGTGAGGTATTCTGGGCACTGAATGAAAATAACTTCAACCCTAGGATACTCTATGAGGCAAAATTATCATTCAAAATAGATGGAGCAATAAAAGTCTTCCATGATAAGGAGAAACTAAAACAATATATGACAACCAAGCCACCACCACAAAAGATTTTCCAAGGAATTCTGCACACAGAAAATGAAAGCAATCAAAACCATGAGAGGACAGGCAGTACCAAACCACAGGAGAAGAAAAGAGAAGGAATCAGAGTAACATTGATTCAGTGGCACACAATCAAACCCTCAGACAACAAAAACAACTGAATGACAAGAATCACAACATACATATCAATACTAACACTGAATGTTAACAGACTTAACTCTCCCATCAAAAGATGCTGTGGGCAAACTAGATCAAAAACACCAACTGGTGTTGGTGAGGGTGTGGGGAAAAAGGAACCCTTATACACTGCTGGTGGGAATGCAAGCTAGTGAAACTACTCTGGAAGACAATATGGAGGCTTCTTAAAAATCTAAACATAGATCTGTCATATAATCCAGCAATCCCAGTCCTAGGGATATACCCAAAGGAATGCGACTCAGGTTACTCCAGAGGCACCTGCACACCCATGTTTATTGCAGTGCTATTCACAATAGCCAAGTTATGGAAACAGCCAAGATGTCTCACTAATGATGAATGGATTAAGAAATGTGGTATTTATACACAATGGAATTTTACTCAGCCATGAAGAAGAGCAAAATCTTATCATTCGAAAGTAAATGGATGGAACTGGAGAACATCATTCTGAGAGAGGTTAGCCAGGCTCAGAAGACCAAAAATTATATGTTCTCCCTCCTATGAGGACTTTGAATCTAGGGCAAATGCAGCAGTGTTGTTGGACTTGGGTCACATGCTAAGGGGAGAGCACATACGGGAGGAATGGGGATAGATAGAAAACCCAAAACTTGAAAGTGTTTGATGTCCCCACTGCAGAGGAGCTAATGCAGTAACTTTAAAATGACAGAGGTCAATATAGGAAGGTGATTGGGAAGTAGTGAAGAGGTCAGGTAGAGATGGATCAATTCAGGTTATAATATACTTGTATGTGGAAGCAATGCTAGAAATCTCTCTGTATAGCTATCCTTATCTCAACTAGTAAAACCACTATGTCTTTCTTGTTATTGCTTATGTCTACTCTTCAACAAAATTGGAGAAAAGGGCAAAACAGGTTCTGTCTGAAAGTGAGGGGGGTGGGGGGGGAAGGAGGGAGCAGGGGCAGGGGGTGAAATGACCCAAACAATATATGCATACACGAATAAATGAATAAAAAGTAATGAGAGGTGAGGGAGCTACTAATATTAGCAGTAATAGTAAGTACCTATATGTGTGCAATCTTCTATGGCTTTCAATGTTTTAGTTGCTACTATTTCACCTTAATTTTCATAAGAACACTGTGAGGAAGACAGGATAGGTACAGTTCAAAATTTAGCCCAAATTTAGTTCTCTGTGTGTTTGTGTCTATTCTACTCCAGAAAGAGTTACAGTCAAATATCTCCATTTGGATGATTTCTGAATCTAATTTCAACTCTTTATCAATGACTGTGGTTAAGAGAATGATTTATCACAGGTAGACAGTAGAAAGTTGATCACTTGTTTATTAATTTATACAAAAAACAGTTTTCTGTATCTTATTTTTGCCAAAAAACTAAAATTTCTAGACTCCTTCAAGTTCTGGAGGAAGCAAATTCTACATTTGAGAAAATCACTCTGATATCCCAAGAACTTTGAAAGACTGGCCCCTCAGAAGGCAGCCCAGAATGGAAAGGGCTATGTAGCAATCATGACACAAACAGTCCTGCCACTTAGACCCCAGGACACACAGATGCTATGGGTTCACCAGCATCTGTGGTGGAAAAATACACCTTGTAGATTTTATGGCACCAGTATGAAAATCACAATGAGGAATCCTTGGATTCTAGAACATAAGCCTACCAACAGCAGTGGAAAATTAGAGACCTTCAAAATACACAGCTTTTGGCATACGGCTAGATATGGCTTAGATCTGAAATATGCCCCCAAAAGCTCATGTGTTAAAGGCAGTTGTTCAAAGGTGGAAACTTTTTGGAGGTGATTGGGTCATGAGGATCCTGACCTCATGAATGGATTAACCCATTTATGGATTCAGAGCTTAATTGGCTATTGCGAGGTGGTTGAAACTTTAGGAGGTTGAGCCTTGTTGGAGGAAGCAGGGCACCAGGCGTGTGCCCTTGGAAGGTATATTTTGTCCCTCACCCTTTCTTCTCTCCCTCTCTCTGCTTTCTGACTACCACGAAATAAGCAGTTTTACTCCAGCCATGTGCTGCCCACCCTGATGTCCTGGTTCACCACAGGGCCAGAAACAATGAAGCTAAGTGACCATGGACTGAAACCTCTGAAATTATGAACAAAAAGAAGTCTTTCTTATTTAAGTTGATTGTCTCAGCAACAGAAAGATGGGGTCCTTGGCCACAGAGCATCAAGTAACTGCTATCAGTACTTCCCAGTGAGGTGGACTCTGTCCAGACTCAGGACCAGCTGTAGCAGCAGGAGCTGCCACCTGACCTTTCTCTTGAAAATTTTCATCCAGAAAAGAAGCCCATCAAAATGCTGATGGAACAGCTTCCAGAACTTTTACAGGGTTAGAGCAGCACAAGCAGTAAACTTTAATAGCAATTTTAGTGTGCCACCAGATCAACCCTTCATTTCAGACCAGAAGCACTCATTCCCCAGCTACCAGGAGGGGAAGTTCCCTCTAGATACTGCCCTCAGCTAAGGGAAGCCATCTCTCCCAATGTCATGCTCCCTTCACAGGGCAATTTGCATGCAATGACTATCAATACAGGGCTATAAAGGATCATTGCCCTTGGCCTACGGCCAATTTAGCTCCAGAGTTCCTATGGGCCACTCTATTGAGATAAAAAGTTCAAATATTCCATGTGAAAAAAAAAGTCAAAATATTTAATTTCAGAATATCTCTTATAGTCAAATTATACATATTTAATTTAAAAAGGACAAAATTTCTCCTTTGTCTTACACAATATATATCCTTGAGTTGAACCTGCTGAGAAGTCTTATTTTGAAGGTATAGAAATTTGATCACTTAGCAGTGATATTTTAATGACTTTTTGTTGATTTCAAATGCCCAAACCTGTAGTCATTTGTTAATCTTGTTAGGAAACCATTCAAATTATATGTCACTGTCACTGAGAGGTTATATATTATATATTTAGACTGTCAGACACCTGGAGCTGTATTCTGTACTTTTATTAATATTCATGCAAAATATATAAGTATGTCACCATTATGGTTTATTTTTCTATTGAAGTTATAGAATGTTTTAATACTAATTATTTTTAATATTAACTTCAATTCATGAGTTCTAAAAACATTTTACTCTAACATGTATCTGTAATACATGTTATATAATATATATTATAATATATTATGGATCATATACATATATATATATTCCAGTGCTGATTGAACTATACTATTTTGTATTTCTATGCCTAGATCATGATCAATTGTACTTTTCACAGTTACATAGTCACTAGTATAAAACTAAGTAAGAGCATTATATATATTACTTGATATTATTTATAGCATGAAAAATGCCTTCTGGAATCAACAATATCAATAAAATTCCACTGACATACCAATAGTTCTTTTCTGCATTAACTATATTAATCAATATCTCTGTAACACAAGTCAATGAACTATGAAGATAATGATATTAGTGACATTACTGTTGAGTGCTGTCTTTTTTGAACAGTACACAGCTGCACCCACACATATTCACATACACACACTAATAAATCTTTTTAACAACCTAATGATGTTTATCATTTTACAGATTGGGAAACAGAGTGAAAGTAAGTAAATAGCAGACTGCAAATTTATCTCAAGATTTTTGAGAAATTACTGCATTAGATTGTCTAAGAAACGGGCCCTTTTTCTCTTTCCTATCTTTTCCCAATGGTGACTTTCTTCCTGGCATCTACTATGTGCCTACCAGAATATAGGTATGCACACCCCACACACATGTTACTATGCATGCGACCCTTTGCAAAATTAGTAAACTCTTTAAGATTAAAAGTAAATCCAAAAGCATTATTTCGGTTAAGAGAAATTTAGTCTAATTTCAATAAAATTACCAGTTTTTCTCTTACCACTTTTAATATATCTTGACTTTTCATGTTCATAGACCATTTCTTCTTCTTCGGAGAGAGCAATATCAACTGTACTGCATTCAGATGAACTGGATGGTTTTATTTTCTAAAAAATATAGTCCCACAAAAAAAGTTGTATTAAAGTTTAATTTGCTCAATATCTAGGTTTATTTCATTTACAGAAATAATATTATCAAGTTTAAAAGACTTTAAGCCACTTCAATAATTGATATTGAAATGCATTGGTATAGGTTGAAGTTTTCAAAAAAATATTTTGAAATTAATTTAAATAAAAATAATTTTAGATTAAAATTGACATTTCATTATTAACGCTTTGCTCATAAAAGATATATAGGCTATCTCTTATTTATGAAAGGATTTGGGTTACACAGTTTCATAAGGCTATTCACAAGGGTCCCATGCATGGTACCATCTGACAAACCAGTACAGATCTGGGGGAAAGATGTTGCTGGAGAATTCAACTAGATGAGTTGTGGCAGAATGTCATTCTTTAATGCTAAGGATGAGTAGTTGATGATGGAATCAGGTTTTATTATAAAATCCAGTGCATACATTCTCGTGTTTGTCATCATTGGATGGTATGGCTGTGAATGTCATGAAGTGAATTGAAGGAAAGGAACAAGAACTAGGGCCCAGGACAGACCTTAGACAGTGACATGAACTATGTGGAAAAAGCAAGAATACAGAGATGAATGTTCTTTCTCACTCTGCTCTTGATTGAAGTTCAAGTTGACTAAGCCAAGGTGGTCATTGCTTTGTGAATGTGGTAATAATTCAAAGGATATAATTCATCTTTAATTAAAAATTTCAAATAATGCTTCATTTTACCTTATTTGAAAATGAATATGCAACATAATCTTTACAAATAAATCAAAATCCAAATTCTGAGTCACATATTTGGTAAATTATTTTATGTTTCGAAAAGGTGACCATGATATACATATTAAACATTATAAAAAAGTTACCAAACCTGATGTAAAGTTTCTTGATTTTATAGTATTATTTTATAATGTGTACATATATGTGCATATATGTAATAAGAGGCTGAGAGTGTAAATACGAAAAACAGTAAGTGTTGTATCTCTGAATTAAATCACTTGTAGTTTTTATGTTTCATTCTTTGTCCTTCTTAGATCAACACTTTAAATATTCATGGAGTAGTGAATCCAAAAAATGTCTGATGAATTAAATTAAGTGTAATTAAGCATATAAATAAACAAATAAATATTCTGTTAGTAGTTAACCAATCAAAAGACCAAATAAACATGCAGCATAAAGGAAAACTTCTGAAATTTCAGCACTTACAGTTATTTTATGTTACATCTTCCCTATGCATTTTTGTACTCCAGACTATCTAATGATATTGTCAAGAAGTTTCCAAGAATGTCCCAACATGATGGTCTGTGGTAAATAGCATTTTTCCCCAATATACTAGTCAAATTCTTCAGTAAAGACATAAATATGATGGATAGGAATTTCCCATTTTCTTATAATGGTTTTAATTAAAAGTTAATAAACCAGAGAATATTGGGGATGTTAAGGACTGAAACTCAGATGTCTTCAATAGGTGCTGGGAGTATTCTGAATAATTAAAACTCAATGTCATTACAAGTTCAATTTGAGAAGTTATTGTAGACACCACATGACAAATCAGAACAGGTCTGGGGAAAAAGGCAGTGCCAGAGAAATTGGAGAACTGGGGGTATCCTCTGTCCCTCCCTGAGCCTTTGGCTGATCTGAGATGATTCCCCAGTGTGTCCAAAGCCAGAAGCCCATAGTATAGACGTGCTTTCTGAAGCTATGGCTTCTTATAGAGCTACACCTTCTACTAAGTCATTGTTTTGTTTGCAAATGGAGACAGTAAGACTTTTCCAGTAGAATGTCTATTTTAGAATCTAAGCAACCAACAATATCTATCTTTTTAAAAATGTGACCCTGTCTTTTGTTTTTAATCCAGGGGTTTATAGAGCTTTCAACTATTCACAATTCTAACTATTGGTTTTTCTTTATTCTTTTATTGCAACTTAATTTGACATTCTAGAATTTTAGAAAGGAAGAAAGAATCTTTGCCCTGTTCTAACCCACACTCACATTTTGAAGAGGATAAAGCCAGGAAAGTGAGTGATCTTTCCTATCACATACATTGATTTTACAAACTCAAGTGTCTTCAGGATGTTATCCATTGCCCCAAACTGCCTGCTTATTAATTTATAGAATTTCAAAATTATGTCACTTAACATTTCTTAAGTGCTTACTATATAGTAGGCATTGTTCTTTGTAGTATTGAACTCTTCTTCTTACTCCTTTGATCCTCCCTAAGAAAAGCAACTTGATTCTCACTTACAAAAAAAGAAACAAAAACTTAGAAAATTTAAGTAATTTGACCATGACCATAAAATCAGGAGCTAGGAGCAGTGGAGCTAGATTGAATGAGTCATCTGACTCAAACTTCAGTATTCATTTAGTTCCTTATCAAGAAAACCATAAATCAACACTAAGCAATCAGAATGATAAACATCTTACCTCTTTGCTTTCTCTACCGCCTGACTTGCTGTGAATCTCCTTGTTGTTTAGATTTTCTATATAAGATTCTCCAGAAGCAATTGGTATGGTTTCTGAGACACTAGGACTGGGCATAAGTGATTGATTTTCATTTTCAGTCAGTGGGGTTTTCTCTGTGTCATTGCTTTTTTCCTTATCCTGGAGGAGATCTTGGGTGTTGCTCAGTTCAGAAAGACTATGGTCAGAAATATTTTCTGTAATATATGTATCATTTGCACAGTCCATTGTTTCCTTTGGTAGATTTTGCTTTTTACATGATCCTTTAAGAAGCACATAGTTTATTCCTTTTTTAATCCTTAGCATTGCACGCTGGATATTTTTGTTTTCATTGTTCTTTTCAGTTGTTACATCCTTGTATGAGCTAAATGAACTCACCAATGCCACAAACAAATAAAGTATCTAAATGAAAAAGTAAAATGAGATTAAGTGTACCTTACTTTTTGTTTTATTTTAAAATTTAAAAATCCTCTAAAAAAACTGGCATTAGATTTGAAAACTAAGCATAAGAACTGCAATGCTCTTCAGTTCTTGTTCAGCTACAACATGTAGGGTTGTGTACTAATAGTTTGTTTTAAGCCAACAATGTCCTATGTAGCATATATTTCTCTTTAGACATGAAAAATTCAAGTCTTTTGGATATCAAATATCAAAGAGACAAATATTAGACTAAATTATGTCTGATTCCAAAAACTTATTTTATCATTGAACCAGACTATTTTACTCAAGGTGAGAAAATAAATTGCACTTCAAGTAGCTGTCTACACTTCAGCCCTATCCTTGGAAGACTTGCAAGGATTCTGCAAATCAATGAGGAATGCTGGTGTGGGAACTATCCATGGTTCTGAAGACCACATCTTCTACTTCTTGAGTCGTGTAGATTAATTTATTTTCTGTTGTGATAAATTTGGTCAAATAAGAAGCAGATGAATGATGAAGGAACCATTCCTAATAACTTTCTTTTAAACACATGAATAGCATATATTTTAGCCAATAATATCACTGAGAAATATGATCAAGGTTGTTCAGTTTGCAGACTCAGATTTTAATCTTGTTTGTAATTGTAGGATAGAGATATTTTTAGAATATATTACTGCAGATTTATAATTGTTATTCTATAACAACAACACTGGAGGATCTTCACCTTTCTTTAGACATTTGAAGTTTTGAAATTTTGATTTATTTTGTTTGACATTACTATAATTTTTTACATTTTATTTTTATTTTATACATATTATTTTCAAAGGGAAAAGCTGAAATTACATGCATTAGAATTAATTATATATATATATAAGCTTGCATATTTAAGCTTACATATATGTGTATATATATATGTAATATATATATGGAATATATATATATTCTGTATATATATGTAATAAACATTTTCCACCATATGTTTCTGATTTTTTTCACATATTGAGATCTATATTTAAAAATAACTGTGCTGGCTGTATTAATGTACAATAAAACATGGATGTTAACTGGTGTCTTGCACCTATAATCCTAGCTACTTGGGAGACTGAGATCATGAGGATTGTGGTTCTAGGCCACCCAAAGTAAAACCTTAGTGAGACCACATCTCAATCAATAGCTGCACACTGTAGTGGTATTGTCATCCTAATGATTACAGGAAGCAAAAAATAAAAGTATTGTGGTCCAGGCCAGCCTTGGCAAAAAGCCAGATCCTACCTGTAAAATAACCATGGCTCAAGCAGAAGAGCACCTGCCTAGCAAGTGCTGAAGCCTTGAGTTCAATCCCAAGTACTGCCCTCCCCTCTGACCAATATATATTGTTGCACATTTTTCCTCCTTTGTTTAAGTATTATGCACAGTACAAAGTAAGGAAACGGTGTTAGGGCAGAGTATCATGATTGTAGGCTTCATATGAGCAGGAATCATGCTTTCTTTTAATTAGATAACCACCATGGTGTTAGGAAAAATAGCTAATAAATGAATATTTGTGGAAAAACTAATTATAGAATATATAAAAGAATATATTTTCTGCTGGGATTTCGACAAGGAAAGTGTATGCTCTTCTAATTATGTTTTTATAAGATTTCTTATACATTAGACATACATATACACACATATATACATCCATAAAGAGTGAGAATGTTAAAAGGTTGAAATGAATTTAATCTTAAAAGTTCATCTGCCATATGATCCAACAATACAACTCCTAGGGATTAACCCAAAGGAATGCAACTCAGGTTATTACAAAGGCACCAGCACACCCATGTCTATTGCAGCACTATTCACAATAGCCAAGCTATGGAAACTACCAAGATGCTCTACTGCTGACAAATGGATTAAGAAAATATGGTATTTATACACAATTAAATTTTATTCAGCCAAAAAGAAGAGTGAAATTTTGTCATTCACAAGTAAATGGATGGAACTGGAGAACATCATCTTAAGCAAAGTTTGCCAGGCTCAGAAGGCTAAATATCACATGTTCTCCCTCATAGGTGGATTATAGACCTAAAACAAATGCAGTAATATTATTGTACATGGGTCACATGCTAAGGGGAGAACAGGCATGAGAGAAATAGGGAAAGGGAAGGAAAGTTAAAACTTGAATGTGGTTTATGTACTCACTGTATAGGAGTGAATATAGTAACCTTAAACTGGCAGAGGCAACTATGGGAAGGGGAATAGGGAGTAGTGAAGAGGTCTGGTAGAGAAGAACCAATGTGGGTTGCAATACACATGTGCATGGAAGCAACACTAGGAATCTCTCTGTATAGCTATCTTTACCTCAAACTAGCAAAAATGCTGTGGTTTTCCTATTATCCCTTATGTTTTCTTTTCAACAAAATCTGAGACAAGAGGATGGAATAAGTTCTGCCTGGAACTGGGGGTGTGGTGGGGGGGATAGGGAGGTGAGGTGTGGTGGCCCAAACAATGTATATGCATGTGAGTAAATATAAAAACAATAAAATTTTAAAAAAGAAAGTTAAAAGAAGTTCAAAATGCACTAGAACTGTGGCATAAGTAGAGAACTTTATAACACTGCAAACTCCAAATTCTTTGTTCAGATATTATAAATTAAAATTAACTTCATCCTTGAGGATTAAAAAGGAAAAAAGGAGGCTTGTAAATGTCCAAGGTTATGAAGGATTGATTATATCTTCTAATTTTCTAATTTGAACACTAATTTTAAAAAAGAGAAGAAGCACAGATATTATAGGCTAAAGTAGCATTCTTCTACTCAAATTGTTGTAACTAGATTCAAAGGAAGGTCTTATTGTTTTTGTCATGAGATAAGAGGCAACAATAATGGCTATAAAACAAAATGTTTAAAAAGTTCTCCTGAAAACTTTGCTCTTTTCCTTCTCAAAGGTAGCCACACACACATATCAAAATCAAGTATAAAAGAGAAAGAAAATTCAAAACCTAGTTCAGTAATGTCTCATTGAGTGAAAATTGAGCTCCCATATAAAAATCAAGTATGAAAGAGAAAGAAAATTCAAAACCTAGTTCAGTAATGTCTTTCTGATTTGGAATCAAGAAATGAACATGTATTGGAATATGACATATATTGAGATATTTTTATTTTAATATTGTTTTAATTATTTCTTAACACATTTAATTTGATATATGATATATAGAGAGAACCATATACATATTTGTTACCAAAAATTTTAAAGCAATTTAATTAATTTTATATTGTTTTCTGTTCTTTCCTTTTCAAATTTCTATCCTTTTTTTTGTTGTTGTTGTTGGTTTATGCAATAAGAACCATTTACTATAATTCTCTGGGTGGCAAATATCTAAATTATAGGTATACTTGGAAAAAATTGTGTCTGCAAGGAAATAAAACTTCTAAACCATACTAAATAATTAACAAAAATCTGTAGATCTGAGATTGAAATTTTCTACAATATAAAAAAATGAAATCAAACATTTATGAATTATTTATAGGGCATTAGGTGATTTCATTTAATTATAAGGACACTACAAAGCATGTGCTATTGTTATACTTATACTTCCATTAAGATTAGACAGAGTTAAAGACAGCACAAAGTACTTAATTAGAAGCTGATAGAATCATAATTTGAACCTATGTTTATTTGTATCTGAACTTTGTGCTTTATCCATAACTCAACATGACATAGAGCTATTTAAAAACACTTTAAATGTTGCTTTTGAATATGATTTTTAAAAGACTTCCTTCCACTTGAAGTTCAGAATCATTGCTGGAATTGTATTAGGGAAATAAGACAAAATTAAATAAAATAATGCAGAACACCTTCCTTTTATACCAATACACATTGGAGGTATAGAAGGTTAAAGAAACAACATCCTCATAACTTCTCCACTTCCATTTTTTTCCTCTTGTACTTACACCAGTCTTATTATTATAGTATCCCCCAGAAGGATGACTACTGACAGGAATAAAGTTTTAAGGATTTATAGACACAAGAAATACCATGCCAAACAATTGGAAATGGAAGTTCATGACTTGAAGTTTCCAATTAATTGTCACAAAAACTATAGAGTGGAAATCGTGTATTTTCCTCAGCATTTCTACTTCTTTGCTTTTGAGCTATGTTACTTCCCTCAAAAGCCAAAGCCCTTCCTTTTAGAGACTGAGATCCATATGTCATTTGAGAAATCACCCTTTTTCTCATTAATACTTTTATAATTTGATGTTTTCTAGCTGCAAGGGAGGGGTCTGAATGGTTTAACATAATAAATGTATTCCACACCCTGCACAAGAGACATTACTTCAGAAATAAGCATACAAATGAAATAATAGGAACAGTTTCCTATGGCTTCTAGAAGACAAATTATTCTATTTATTTGACATAAAATGAAAATATGAGGCCTTGAACTGCAGGAAACCATGTTGATAAAATAGAGTATAACAGCCAGGAGGGAATATAGAGAAGTAAAAACTGAGATGTACAAAGACTTTAATGATTCCAGTTGAACTTCTGCACCATAACCCAACTGGAGCAAAATCAATAGCTGATGGTTTTAGTTATGCATATTGATATATTAGCTCATTTGTTTAGCCACTTCGAATAAGTGATTTGTTTCACTGCAAGTTGAAAGCATACTAACAGCTATGAAAGTCAGAGGATATTAAAGTGCTTTTACATATTGGCCATTGTTCTAGACTTTATGATTTGGAGAAGAATCAGTGTCCCTTCCCTCATGGAACTAACAGTTTAATGAGGAAGATGGATAATTACATGAACAAATCAGCACAAAGCCAATGTGGGAACTGTAAAGCAGTATGATTCCCAAGATGAAATTAAAGCAATGAGGTAGAGCAGAGATGAGATCAAGTCTAACCTGTAGGTGTTTTTTTTTTTTTTCATCTGGGGAAATACATTTGATCTTTATGACACATGAATAAAAAGAAAATATTAAGTCTTTTTTCCCATGACAATCATTTCCTTTTATAAACTACACCTTTTCCTGAGAAGCAGCAAAAACTCCTTATGAAATTCATGTAACACCAGATTATTAGGAAAGCTAAAAGTGAAAGCTTTCTCTCTCAGATAATGCATTACAGTTTTATAGACCAGTGTTTTATAATCTCTGCCACACTATTCAGTCAGATGAGAATTTAAAAAAATATTCTGATGACCAAGTCATGTTCGCATATCTGTAAAATCAGACTCTCTGGAAGTAGATCCAAGACATTAACGTATCATTAATAATTCCCCAGGTAATTTCAGTGTGCAGGAAGTTTGACACCCAGTGTTATATTTAAGTGCTTCTTAAAACTTAATGGATACACAAATCACCTGGGAATACTGTTAGAATATAAAATATGCTTCCATATGTCTGAGATGGGGTCAGAAAGTCTGCGTTTCTAACCATCTACCACACGATACCATGCAACTTTGAGGTTATACACTAGGGCTATTCAGTGGAAATATGGTGATGTGATGGAAGACACACATGCAATTATAATGAAAGTATAAGTAAGTGTAAACAAAACAGCTGAAGTTAATTTTACTGATGTATTTTATTTAGCTAAGTGAACTTGAATAGAAGTATTATTATTTTAAATGCATTCAATATAATTCAAGGACATAATTTATGTTATATTCTAGATTAAGGTTCAAATCCAGTGCATATTTCATATTTACTGTACATCTCAAATCAGGCCACCCATATTTCACCTGGTAATAGCCACTTTCAGCTAGTGGTCACCATATTGACAGCCCAATAGAATACTGGATACCATGAATCCCCAACTTAAGAAAACCATTTCATCATATAGTTTTTTTTTTCAAGAAAAAGTAAAAGCATGGAATACTTACCAATAAATTTCCAGTTAAAATGATCATCATGTAAAAAGAAATGCACAAGGATTGGCTTGATACCTCCATGCAGTCCCATAAGGTCTCTATCCACTCTCCACAGACAATTCGGAACACATTCAGGAAGGAGTGGAAGAAGTCGTTCATGTGCCAGCGTGGGAGTAGACAATCTTTGTCTATGTGGCAGACACAATCTTTGTAACTCTTACCAAATAGCTTTGTGCCAAACACAGCAGAAAAGAAAATGAACGTGAACAGCAGCAGGACCAGGTTTTTCAGGACCACCAATGATTTAATAAGATTCAGTATTAGAATCTCAAATGTTGGCCAATATTTCCCCAGCTTGAAAATTCGCAGCTAATAGAGCAATGTAAAAACAGTAAGAAAGACATAATTAAAAATCTGGTTAGTGTTTAAAAAAACATACATTCAAAATTTTTGATTATACACATACATACATAGACTTTAAAGTAATTTTGCTTTAACCATTGTTAGTACTAACTACTGAATATTTATTTTATAAGCATTCTTAATGCATCTCAAAATTCTATGAATTTGTATGCTAAATCTATACATATCTTTTTGTATGGATATTTTTGTAAATGTCCATTGAATATTATAATTACTACAGCCATATTTTTTAGTATTTGGGAGGATAAGTATCTATTCTTTGTCTTTGCTTTTCACAATGCATTGGATATTTTCCTACAGTATGATCTACAAAAAGCATTGAAAAACTTTTTTTCGAACTGAATTCACTAAAGATCCTTCTGAGTATTTGCATTTATCACAGACCAAATACAACATTCCAGGTCTATTCTAAATATTCCTTTCTTTTCACTAGATTTTTACTTGTACCTAATTACCTTAATAAAAAATATAGCACAGAATTACCTGAATATATTTTGATCACTATACCTCAGTGGACATATAGTTACCTAAGACCTATACATAATTATTTTTTTGGTAGAAGTGGAATGTGCACTCAGGGCTTTGTGCTTGTTAGGCAGGTGTTCTACCACTTGAGCCACACTTTCAGAACATTTTATGCATTAGCTGTTTTTCAAGTAGAGTGTCAAGTTTTAGCCCAGGGATGGCTTCAGAGCATGATCCTATGGTTTCGTCTTCCACAACAGCCATTATGTGTCACCACACCTGACTTACTGAGATGAGGCCTCACTAACTTCTTTGCCCTGGCTAGTCTCAAACTGTGATCTTCCCAATCTCTGTCTCACAAGTACCTGGGATTATAGGTGTGAGCATCCCATACCTTGCCCCCATACATAATTTTAATATGCACTGTAGCTTCCCAGTGTTTTCTAGTATATATCTGGCTTTCTGGGCTCAAGACTTTACATTGATCCAAGTAAAATTTGATCATGTTAGATTCAGTTGTAGTCTTTAAAATATTTTGATATTATCTTTTAGCACATTTTCTGCTTTTAGCACATTTTCTGCTTTTGCCATTTTGTTTCATCCATAAATTTGGTGACTACATCCAGTATATATTTCTCTTCTTCACAAGAACAGTCCATGGCTGAAGATTTAAGACGAGGTTCTGAGGAAGCTGCACTCTAGAAACTAATCTGGATTCCTGCTACATTCTTCCAATCTGTCACCAGAATCTGATGATATATTGCTATTAAATGCTTAAGAGTTCATAAATACCATTCGAATATCTTTATGTCTTTGCTTAATTTTCTGATTCACATAACTTCCCTGACCTTATAGACCTGATAATATTCATAATAACTTTCTTCTGACTTTACTGCTTTTTTAAAATAAAAATTTCTACTCTATATTTAGAAATATTTACTTGATTTCAGTGTCCTAGTCACCACTGGCATTCCACTCCAGGGACCCTTTATTATCCTGCTTTTTCGAAAACGTATTCAGTTACCTTAGCCATGGTTTTTATAACTGCATATCAAATTTTCTGCATATTTGGCCTAATTTACTTTAATGTTTTGCTCAAATAACAGCATTGGAAATTGCTTACTCTCTCACTAAGTTCTTTATATATGAATTAATTTATCTAGTGGTGCTAATGTTCCAAGGCAACCACTTTATTTTCTAATTGTCCCATTTTATGTCTGAGGAAAATGAGAGAAACTTTAACAAAATAAAAATTAGATCTTGGGATTCTACTTACCATCCTGAATGATCGCAAAAGAGCCATTCCTTTAATATTTGCTAGATAAAGTTCTGCTAAACCAAGGAATACAATTGCACTATCAAAAATGTTCCATCCTACTTTGAAATACCCATATGGATGCATGGCAACTATTTTAAAAATCATTTCTGCTGTAAAAATTCCAATAAACACCTAAAAAAAACCCAAAACACATGGGTAAGAGTGATTCCAATAGCTATATCAGAAACTTCTTACACAGAAACTTTAACATAGAGTGTAAACTATTCCCTGTTGCATTCTTCACAGCTTTTCTTTCAAGATCTGGTTGCTTTTGAAGTCTGTATTACGACGACAGATTCATACATTTTATTTAAAACCTAGTGTAAGACATGTATACATGGAATCTGATTATTTTAAGTATTGAGGGGGGGAGCGGGAGGGGGTGGAGTGGGTGGTAAGGGAGGGGGTGGGGGCAGGGGGGAGAAATAAACCAAGCCTTGTATGCACATATGAATAATAAAAGAAAAATGAAAAAAAAAATAAAATAAAATAAAAGGGACCATTCTTAAAGAAAAGAATATTTGAGATTAAAACTATTTCCATTTTGACTAGGTCCTTCTGACATTATGGAGTATACATTAAAGTATTCAATTTTTAACCCATAACACAATAAAAAGTACATATGTAATCTAGGAAAAAACCCTAGGGTAAACTTAAGGAAACTTTTAGAAAAACTGTAATGGTAGAAATAACTAAGTTACTATTTTAATATCTAATAAACATATAATTTGAAACTGATAGCAGTTTCATTTGTATTTTCAAGCAACTAAATAACAAAAAATGTAAAGAAACTGAAACAATATACATTTATTTAAATGTGACTTGTTTTTAAACTCACTGAAGTCTTGTCTTTTGCATTATTATGTGAGAAAAGATAAATGAATGTCAAAAACGCTTTGTCAGTGATAAGCTTGAAGTAATTTGTATGCATATATGAAAATGTCATAATGAAGCCAATTAAAATTTTTGTACAAAGGGAAACAAAAAATAGCAATAGATGGGGTGAACATGATCAAAATACGTTCTACATACGATAAGCTCCAATCTAGACAGAACAGACAGGCCAAGTACTGCTGCAGTCAGAACACAGAATTCAGAATTCAGGGGTCCCTGCTGTGGTCCCACCTCTGCCCTGCTCTTATGTATGAGCAATGCTACCAGACAGTGTGTATTTGGGAAGGAAGAAGCAGTAAATAATTTCCACTTAATTTCACTGACAAGCAGTTGGATAGGATCCAAAATTTTAAAAAGAGAATTTTAAACAAGAAGTGTAAAAATGGTAATATTTACAAGCTATGGTAGAGCATGAACACAAACCATTGTCCAATAATAATGCACTAATGCATATTGCAACATACTTAAATTATAAAATAAAACAATGGCAAAAATAATGGGAATATTTTCCCATAAGGAAAAGTTGACACTGAAAATTTTTTAAATGTACAATGAGTCTCTTACCAAGTTTCCAATGCTGAGAAGACTGCTGGTCTTCTTGCTCATTGGATAATGTTCCAAGGCCAAAAAAAGTATGTTTAAAATTATACATATCATAATAAAAAGATCAGCAAAGGGATCCGTTGTAATTCTATGGAAAAACTCTTTCAATTTTAACCAGCAAGGACAGCAATTCCAAATCAAAAGACTTTTAGTAAATTTATGCCAACATAATGGACATTTCTTCCTGGATTTTTTAAGTTCTGAAAGGAAAGAGAAAAAGTTAAACATCAGAAAGTGGGTGGGTGGGGAGAGGGACGGGCGGGAGGCAGCGGGGAGAAAGGGCCCAAACATTGTATGCACATATGAATAAGTGAATTTAAGAAAGATTTATCCCTAGATTTTCTTGTTTAATAATTATTTGGAAAAAAAAGGAAAGTTGTTTCAGTTCTAAATAACAGAAATTTTTGACATTTTCATGCAAAGGGAAGTATGAAACTAGACTTCTGCTTTGGAATTAGCAAACAAATATTCTATACTAATAAAAAGCAGAGTAAAGTTAATTTCCTCAATTTTGTTTATACTTGCTGAGTTAGACAAATGAATATTAGGTGAGCTATATATCAGAAGAAAAACAAAAATATCGCTCAAGAAAACCAATACAGAATATAGATGAGAACATTATGATTTTTAATTTCTAGATTTATGTGCCTCACAAAATAATGTTTTTCAATATTGTCCTTGATGAAAATTACTGGTCATGTTTTTAAAAAAGAGAAACAAATCTAGGAAGTGTCTTGAGACCCTTATAGAGGGGCAACACAGGGGTTAGGAGAAAGGACCTTTGTGCAATCAACAATCCAGATACAAATTTGTTTCCACCAGAACTGAAGTACTTAAGCTCCTGTGTGAACCAGAAGCTTCACTGATAACACAGTCAATTTACACACATTTTGTCTGTATGTATGATACATGGTGAAAATATACAAGAGCCACGGGAGATCACTTTTTACTGGAATAGGCATGTTGCTCATGTGGAGATGACTAGGACTATTCAGGATTTGTGGAGGAGACTCACAACTGAGCTCATGGCATATCCACAGGAGGGAGCTACAGAACTCTCACAGTGTACACTATAGTTAATTTTATGCAGTTGTGACAACACTGCATCTTTACAATTATTTACATTTCTCTCAATTGCAAATGGCACTACATAAGGTCTATGTTTTTATGCATATGTTTTGACAAGGTAAACTTTTTATAATTGTATATGCTTCATGGCAATGAATAGATTACTATGTACATATGTTTTATGTATTCACAAAATACCTATTTTTTTCAATATATATAGGCTATACTATTCACCTCCATACTTTTTCAAATTGTCACAAATTTTCCAGTAAGTCTGCATAGAGTTGAACACACGGTTCAAAATTATTAATTCAAGAGTCAGCTGAATAGTTCAATTTCTATTTTTAGTCACAAGCTACATACTATAATGTTTTTAATGATAAAGAAAATTCCTTGATACTTTCCAATATTTAAAGCACTTGCTTTAGAAATTTTTATGTATTGTACATCCTAATATTCTCAATTTATTTCTTAAATTTAGATTATTCCTAAGATTGTGAAGAAATTCTAGGATATCTTTATGAATGATTCTTATGAATAACACCTTCCATAGTGAATATCTAAATATTATTTTTACTTTACTTTTTTTATCTCTAAGAGTAGTCTCTTCCAATACATCCAACGAGGTGTTCATGGAAGTTGGTGATCGTTTCTTCATTTCTATTTGTGTGGTTTTGGTCTGAAAAGAAATTTAATGAGTTTAATATTGGCATTTCTCCTGTATAAGACCAAGACTATCATGATAAGAAGGAATATCACTTCTATAAAAATGTTGGTTCTTACCTCCAAAAGCCTGCCTATGTTTCATCATTTGCTACTTACTTTCTACACTTTGGCAGTATTAAAGTAATTTAGGATTATCTGGAAAACAATGCTATAACTTGTATCCAATCAAGTTTTATACTGTGAGCTCAATTATAAAAGGAGCAAAGACCAGTGAATGATATTAGTAGTGTAGGACTATTCTGAAATGTCCACTAGGCAAACAGTGAATAATATTTTCCCAGCACCTTAATTTTTTTGCTTAAGTATATATTAACTTTATGACTGAAATTCTCTTGATAAAATAAAATAATCTGGATTTGTAATGATGAAGTAGTCTTGGAGCACATCAGTCAACGGAATGGATTTAAAAGTGTTTCCTTGGATACAACATTTATGATACCAAATGAATAGGACAGGCACAATTCCATAAAGAAATTATTTCTTTCTGTTTCTCTTGTCCCTTAAGTAAGGCTCTTATTCTCTCTGTTTTTCTCATCTTTTTAACCAGATTATGAAGAATTCTTGCATTGAAAATGTACTAAAAGTTCTAGCCTTTGACGTAGATATCTCAAGTTCTGTACATTCATGATAATCACAAGGACAGCCAACATGCTTCTAGCAATTGTGTGCAAAATTATATTCATAGTTGGACTCTAAGGACATGACAATGGGTGGATGATATGGCATGGTACTGACTCCTAAGTGTTTTACATTGGACACACACAAAGAATATTTGTATGTTTGTGAACTTTGGGTAAATAGTTAAGACTACCCTTCAGTGGTGCTATCCTGGGAGCTACTGCTGTCTTAGCACTGACAGAGTTAGTGTTTGAGGCAGATCAGTAACTCTGGTCTGCCATCACATCTGGTTGGCAATATCTGCTCTGGTTATATGAACTGGCATAGCAGATGTCAGGGAAATTACCATATTCATCTCACTGTGTAATGGATGGAATAAAATTGTTTTATCATTGGGCTACCAGTGAGTTCTACCCAATGTGGAAAAATCAGATGGCAGTCAGTATTGATAAAACTTGCTTTGGTAAATCCTTTATGAGATTAAATATGAGAATTCATGAGGATATATTGTGATTTGCACATAGTTGAAACAGAATTAACTTTATAGACTGTTTGCTGCTGTGATTATTTAAATTAGGTAAAATACAGTCAAAGATTTAAGAATTTTAGGTTGATGGACTTATCTACATTGGGACAATTATATGTGTTTGCTTTCTTTTGTTTCCTATAATTAGCCAGTAGATCTTTATATTTATTATATTATATTAATTAAATTTGATAAGGTACAAATATAGGAATTTCAAATATCCTGTTTAATATTCTAGCTAGCTCTACATTTGCTTCTTTTACGACTAAAACTTAATTTTCTCATATGAGATTTTGGGATGATTCCTATACCTCAAAGGGTGCTACAGGGACAATGTGAAATTTATATATAGCTATATATATATATATATATTTACACATATATACACACACATATATATGTATATACATACATACATATAACATTTAGTACTGGATCTGGCCCATAGCAAATAAAACACAAATGTCACATAACTATTATTATATTGTTATGAAATAATTTTCATCTAAATTGTGAATTTACTCAAAGAATTTTTCTATCAAAATCTAGTATTCTTAGTGGAGACTGAAGAGTGTAAGAGTTTGAGAAAAAGTGATCATTAATATGATGTATTATACTGGTATATTTCGATGACTTTATTAATATTTCTTTATGGCACCTTTTCAGATGTTTAATGTATTCTAAGCACTACAAAGTGTTTTACATGTGTTTATTTCATTTGAACTTCACAAAAATCTATCATACAGATATAGTAATTATATTCATTTTACAGATAAGGATGCTGAAGTTTATCAAAGTTAACAGACTTGGCAAATATCATACATTAACCAAGTGGCTACAGTGGACTAAAATCTATATTTATCTGATTGCCACATGTGCTTTTAGCCAACATGATCTACACTTTTTTATAATGTGAGAATTTGGAGTATTATACCACTTCCCTGCAATTTCAGTGTTGGAATTAGACTCTGACCAATTTTTAATCAGATTGTTACAGAGATAGCCTTAGTATGTTCCACTTTAAATTCTTCCCATGTTTTCTTATGTACAATGAAAAAAAAAAAGAAGAGGAATTTGTGAAATAGTTTTTGCTCCCATTTCCCAGAAAACTCTGCATGACAAAATGTTCTAGGATTCTTTTAAGAAAAGAAATTCCCCACAGTTGAAAGATTTTAATTAAACCAGGAAGGCTTTATGTGATCCAAATTAGCAAAGTGAAAGAAGATACTGGGAAATATCCAAGTTCTTTCATAATCAGAGCTAACAGAGCATTTCTTCTTGAGATAAGAGAAGTACTGTTATACTCTTGGATACATTTGTGTGTAGTCACAACCCCTTGAGATTCTGAAATGCCACTTCAAAACAAATTACACATTCAACGTAACATTCAGACCCTAATCATTCAATCTGAAGGACCCTGAACTCACTTATAGAGACAGAAAGCTTTTGTCATTTGTTTTCTTGTAACTTACTCATGAGTGATAATAGCCTCTTGTTATACATGTTTTCTTCATACACTCTATAATTGCTTCTTGTTCAATGGTATGCATGTTACTGATAGAAGTATCTACCAAGTCATTGGATATGATCCCACACCCTGTAATTCAAGTCCCATTTTTTGGTGCAATGACTTTCTACAGCTTCTTCACTGATGTTGACTTAGGGGAGTTAACCTTTACCCTGTTTTTTGACTCAGAAAGTGCCTTTGGTATTAATGAACCTCTCAGCCAGTCTTCCTACATATTCCGTGTATGTCGGTGTATGTTGGCCCTTTTCTTCCATCTCTTTTTATCCTGTTTATATGTAAGGATTCCCAGGTATGGCTCCTCTCTTAACTCACTTCTATCTTTCTCAATTTAGACTCTTTCCTCATCTATCAGAAAAATAGTTCAAGGAAGAGATGTGAGATTGCCTGCAAAACATAAGAAAGTACTTCTGGTTGCTACTCTCAGTGCTGTTATTCCTCTTAGCACACTGCCAGCACAATTTTAAAAATGGTTTTTCTAACTTTAATGTAACTTCTGTTAGTAATTTCAGATTCACAGACTGAAAGTTTTTATATGAGGTTGATAACCTGAAAAATATTCAAATACAATATTGAGGCAATTAAAAATCACAGTAAATCACAGCGATCAGTTTTTAATAAACATGGATTTAATTATTCCATGAAGAAATTGATTTTCTACATCAGATGAACTAGAAAGTAATGCAAGGCATCATTACTATACAGTTGCATACATTTTCCAAATCTGATGTGCTATCTGAAGCAAGATGGAATTAACAACTCATGCCTGTGTTAGGAGAAATCAAGTTTTAGAGACATAGCATACCCATGTTTATCAGCTTTATCAATGCAACCTTTGGAAAAAATTGTACCTATTGAATATGTAAACACATTGGTCACTATATTAAGAAACAGGCAACATATAGCAAAATGGAGTCCAGTTACTGAAATGAATCTTGGACTGACCATGTACTACACACAAATAGAACCATCTATCAGATGCTTATCCTCCAACACCTGAGAAGACATCTCCAACGCAATTAGCTAAAAATCGTGAACTATTATATATTATACCTCAGCTCCTTCAATGCCTTCTTCATGTTCTTTTATGGTCTGTTGAGATTTTGTTTCAGTCATCTTAGTTTTTTTGGCAATTGTCTGCTTTTCTTTTTCAAAGGCCATAGTAAGTATTCCTAGGAATAAACTTGCCATATAAAAGGCAAACCAAAAACTGGCCACAACAAAAAATATCATGTGGATCTTTCCAGAAGCATAAAGGATCTAAGGAGAGGTAGAACACAGAAAAAAGAAAAAATGCAATTTTGTTATGAAAATAATTTGGTAATAAGTGGAATATAATAAAGACAGTTTAAGTGCTGGCAATACCTGAATAAATAAATGAAAATTTCTTCAACTTTAGACATATATGTAAGGCATAAATATATGCTAAACACCCAAGAAACAAAAATAGTAACTTAATTAGTTTGCTATAGCATTTGACTTTTATGCCTTCATTAGCAGAACAAACACTCTGAAGAAATAATCGTCTCTTAATAAGAAGCTACACAGTCTCGATATGGAAAAATCATTTACTTTTCAGAACAATCTTTGAATATGGGAAGTTCATTCAAGTCAGAGAATACTGTGTTTCTCTGATCACTAATTTTCAGAATTATGATTCCAACAAACTTTAAAGTCAAGTCTACACAAGAAGAATGGGCAAGTATATTTCAAAGCCTCTCAGTATACCTAATTTGGTGAAAGACCTTTAGATAAATCATATGAAAAAGTTATTTTGCTTGTATATGCACATATTTCTAAGTAGAAAATCACATAGGGAAAACATTGTTCACTGATCTGTCTTCACCCATTAAAGATATATGAGCAAAATTCAAAGAAATAAGTGAGAATTGCCTTGATTTTAAGCATCTATTTGAATTAAGAGAAGCATATTACCTATAGAAAATATTGCATGAGTGAATGAAGTTAAAAATGACTACAGAATAATAGGAAGTTCCAACAGTTAACCAGAAATAATTTTTACTAAGTTAAAATATATTTGTCTTTAAAGGTATTTTTAATAACACCTATTATACCAGTGACTTAGGTATTTAGGATTTGGTTAAATATTTTTACCACTGAGCTAAAGCTGTTTACAGTAATATAGTCAGCAGTCAGGATAGGCATTAAAGAGTGACCTGCAGGCCATTTACATTAATAAGCATTTATTATCTCAACCTGCATAACACATCTAGGTGGTATTTAATGCTATTTTCAATATACATAAGAAAAAGAAAAATCACATAGGTAAAGTCACACCCAAAGATCTTACACCTAGGAGGGAAAGCTCTTTCTACTATGCAATGCCAGTAGAGGGTAAAAGTGCATACATATTCATTTTTTGTTTGATTGTTGATTTGAGACAAGGTCTTGATATCCATCCCAGGCTGCCTTTCACCTTGCAATCCTCCTGCCTCAGCCACCTAAGTACTGGGATTACAAGTATAAGAATATATTCTTGTTAGCACAGAAACTATACAAATTCTGGTTTTTATCTTGATGAAATGAGGGATAATTATAGACCTTATTTCACTGAGATTTTATGATTATAAAATGGAAAAATGTACATGAAGATCTCAAGGTATACAATGAACGTTAGCAATACTGTAAACATGACTGTGTTCTATGACTGTTGGAGATGTTTTGTTTATTTGTTCACCCATGGTGTATCAAGGAATATTTGGATCAAATAAATATTAATGAGTGATTTGAAGACAATATTTTCCAAAACGTGAGCTGTATTGCTTGAGAATTGCCTAGCATAATCAGTTGAGTTTAGGGAAATGCTCAGAGTGAAATCCAGTTCAAATAAAAACTTAGAGAACAGAAATGAAGAAGATCTTGAATTGAATCCAACACCAGAACACTCCCAGATTTGTTTTCCATTTCACTGGTAGAGAGAAAGGATTATTTTTAAATCATTGAACATTTCTATGTGCTAGATGATGAGAACAGAAATATAAAATAAGAGAAAATACATCTTAGGTAGTTTATCTCCTATGGGGGAAATATTGAAAACGAGCAAATAAAAAAACACTTTCACTGAAAGCTTTAGAGTGTGCTGTAGGATTATAGCATAGAATGTTCCCAACTCTGAAAGGAGCTGGTGAAAAACTCAAAGAGAACTTTTGACCTTGAGGTCCGCTGAAAGGAAACTTTAATTTAGGCAGAGGATACAAAAATATATGGAAACAAGAAATTATGAGAAAAGCACACTTGGGAAACAGCAAGTCTTATACTCAAAGCAGAGAGTACACATTGGAATATGGTAAAAAAATAAATCTAGAGAAGTATGCAAGGACTAGATCTTAAAGGGCATTATGTGTCATGCATATAGACTTTGAACTTCATTCCATACAAAGCTGGAAACCATGAAGTATTTTTAGGAGGATAAAATAGCAGATTATATTAGAAATAAGAAGCTGTTGGTGTTGTGGAAGAACACTGAAAATTGTTTAAAAATTAAGAAATAGCAATTTAAATACTAAAATAATAAAAACATAGTTTACATAAAGAAATATATCACTTGTGATCACAAATACAAATGTACTACATGCTTGTTTGACCTATTTGATTTCCATTTAATAATATATTTGCAATTAGTATCTGTGCCTAAAATATATTATATTATGTTCTTATTCTTAATGACTTATATGAATACTCCTTCCAATTTATCTAGTTAATCAAAGTAAGTATAGTGTGCACATGCATTTTAAAGAGAATATTCTCTTATTGTGGAAGAATACAACTTAGCTTAACAAGGGATAATAGTGACACATAAACAAAGAAGAGAATGCTCTCCTTCAACTGTACATACCTGGGGAATTTTGAGTAATTTATTTTTATCTAATATTTTTGAACTAACCATCCTGCTTTGACTATAACATTGTATCTTCTGTGGGGGATAGAACTTCTCCCTGAAGAAAAACTGAATCTCCATTTTAGTGAGTATTATACATTTCTAAGAAACTATCATAGATATAATTAATTATGAAAGAAGACTCTCAGAACTTGGATTTTTAAACCTTTTATCATAACTGGAACATTACTTAATTATTAAAAGGGATGAGAAGATATAGAAGAATCACAAAACAGGACATCATACATGTTCAATGAATAATCATTTAATATGTGGTGATCTCATTCTTTTTTTCAAAATGTCTTGACTAAAGAATTAGCCTAGAAATGCTTTTTAGTTATATAAAATGTGGAACTATCACAAGCTATGGACTAAGAAACTGAGCTCTAACAGTTAAACATTTTATAAATTTGGGGCAGTTACTCAATCTACTATATGAATCTTAGTGTCTCATATTAAAAAAAACAGGTCTACAAATGGCCTTCAACTTAAGATGGGGTTTTGTCACCATGAGATTATCATTATAAGTTGAAAATATTATGAATTGAGAATGCATTTAGTACACCTAACTTACCAAGCATTGTAGCTTAGCAACACAGAGTATACTGGGAGTATTGGTTATTTCCCCTCCTGATTGTGTGCCTGGTGAGAGCTACAACTGCCGTTGCCCAGTATGAAGAGAAAGTGTCTTACTGCCTACTGATAGCCAGGAGAAAGATCAAAACTCAAAATGTTAAGTGTAATTTCTATTGAATTCATATCACTTTGGTACCACTTGCAAACTGAAAAATCTTAGGTGGAACCATTTTTAAGTCAGGGAGAGTCTGCAGATTGATCTTAAAGAATTGCTGTAAAGATTAAGTAATTTATCATCACAACCTTGGCATGGCAGCCAATGTGTAGTTTGACATTCAATGATTATAATTCTCTTTTTTCTGTCTTCAACTTCTTCCCCACATAAAAATTTAATAATTTGTATTACATTTGATTACTGTCTTAGAAGGGAGGGCAAGGATGGCAGTTCAGTTCAGTGCAGATTCTCTCTGTTCTTACCTGGTGATAAAGTGCTTCAGGGTAGTCCTGGGTCATTAATCGAAATAGGGCAAAGAAAGACCAGCCAAAGTTGTCAAAATTTGTGAATCCACGATCAGGGTTTATGCCCTCTTTTGCACACACATATCCTTCAGGACATTGACTAAAGAAGACCAGGAAAAGAAAAACTTTAAGCATTTGGTCAATTCCTAATACAGAATGTCTGTTCATGCATAATAAAGGTCTTCTCTTTGCAGAGGGTAATTGGGTATTCTTTCCAGAAATTTGTGTTCAAAACTTTGCAAAGTGAGACAGATTTTAAGTCCATACACCTGATCAGTATTAATTATGCTAAAATAAAAAAAGGCTCTCAAAAAATTGTCTTTGCAAAGCCTCTTTTGGCATTACTTATTTATTTTAATTGAAGGAATTATATGTATTTATTATGTACAACATGTTTAGAAATATGTATACATTTTGGAATGACTAAATTGAGCTAATTAATATGTACATATCTTTTTGTGGTAAAAACACTTAAAAAATCTATCATTCTTAGCATTTTTCAAGAATGCAGTATATTGCTATTAACTATCATTTCACTATTCAAAATCAAATCGGAGGGTTTGGAAATGCAGTTCAATGGTAGTAGTGTTTGACTAGTATGAGTGAGGGCCTGAAGTGGGAAATATTTGACTGTCATCACAAAAGTTGAAAATAGTCATGTGAGAAAAGAATATCGATAAAAATAAAACTACAAGGTTAAGGATTTAATTTTCAAATGATCTTACCTCAAACCTCTAGATCCCATTATTTAAGGGTGAGAAAACATCACTTCAATAATTGATAAGCAGTACTTGCACTTGAGGAGAAAGACTCAATTAAATATTTATGTCTTTTCCTTTAAGGGAGTCCTAATTTTTTTTTATCTACTTAGGGGTTTGAGTGATGCGGTGGATTATTACATAGTGGCCTAATAAATCATGCTCTCCTCTACTCAAGCCTCTGAGAGTAGTTCCCTCCCCTGTTATTTTGGGTTCAGTCATGTCGTGAATTTTAGACATTTGTTAATGGAAGCACAGTTTTAAAAAGCACTTGTGCAGTAAAGCTTTAAATTGCTGAGCTGCAGAATTTGATGAAGTGAATTTTTGCTCTTTTTTAAGCCATTAACTTTTGGGGTAGTTTTCCATACTGTGAAGAATGACAGGTTTAGGCGAAACATTGCATGACCTTTCTTCTTGCCTTGAAATATATCATTGTGCACTGAAGATTTATAACTAGATACCTTCAAAATACATTTCTGGTCATATTTGAGTTAGGGATATACATAAAAAGATTGAGCTGAAGTGAGATGTTACAGATCCAATGAGATGGACTTACATGTTGGATCTGAGAATAGAATGGAAGGCCAGTAGAAGATGGGGAAAATCATTTGTGCTAAGTAAATGATAAAATGTCTAAATCACCTGAATTGAGCTAAACTATACAACTTATGGTCCTTCTCCCTATATGCCTTTTAATAATCTAGACAGAGTCTAAGAAAGAACTGAGCCTAGGGATGGATGTCAAGTCATCCCAATTAAGCAAAGCAACACATGGCAATTACATCCATTTCACACTACTGAGAAGTACCCTATTTCTACTTTTTAATTTGCTCCATCTGAAACTACAGGATAATAAAACCTGAAAGCTTTGTTATCTCAATAAATAATTATAAATACTGTTTCTAAGAAAATCAATTTTATTAATATAAATTATAGCCATGAAAGATATACAAAATGAAAATAAGTGAAAAAAAATTATGTTCTCTCTTCTTTAAAAGTTTACAACCAAAGAATGGATTTATATTCTTTCTTGGTAATTCTCACACTGAAAAAACGAAGATCAAATCACTGTTAAAGTCTTACCTCTGCACTTTACTAATTTCTTAACCTTGATTAAATCATTTTATTAATCTATAATTTGCTTTTCTGTAAAATTTTATCAATGCTTTTGGCAAATGATTAGGTTAGAGAATGGGACCTCATGAATGTGATTAATGACATTACAGAAAAGTCCCAAGAAAGCCCCTTCTCTCACGTGTGCAGCAAAAAAACACCAACTATGAGCCAAAAGGCAGACCAAACCAAAAACAAATTTGCTGGTACCTGAATCTGAACTTTTCAGCGTCCCAGACTGTGTGAAATAAATTTTTGCTTTTTAAAAGCCACAGAGTCTACGGAATTTTGTTTCATACCTCCCAAACAAAGACTGCTTGGCATTATTTGACGATAAAATGAGATAATGTGATCAACTGGGACCAGCAGCAAAAGTAATAATGATTCAATGAGTACTATCGATGGATGATACTGACTTGGTAGGTGGAAACAACACCACTTACCCAGCATCTGTTCTGTTACCACAAAGAAGAGCATCTCTGTCGCCTTCCAAGTAGTAAAAGTTTTCTGTTTCTGAAAACAGGAAAGAAAAAATGTTCTATATTTAGCCTTGAATTAGTGATGGGAAATCCATTAAGAATATAAACATTACTCTCTGCATCTGAGAATAAAGAAGCAAAACTTGGCCTTTTTTACCGATCATCTGATGTACATTCCAAAAGGCCTTTGCAAATCCAGATGATTCACTGCCTTCAAATTGACAAGGCTCAACACAGAAAGAGAAAAATCCTTTTTTAAACTAAAGTGCAGGAAAAATGAACAAAACAGCCAGGTAAGACTAGACATCTCAAGGAAAAATTCCCAAGACTTAATTGTTTGAAAGTGGAGGACCACCTTCCAAGGTATATTCCTAAAGATCAATCCAAACAAGAAGGCTAGATTCCTTTGTCTCTAGGTTTAATTTACAGTCTCTCCCTAACTCTAAGCTGAGTCTTCTCCATTGAGCATTTAATGACATCTATTTGATCTGGTGTCACCTAATTTCAACCATAGCCCTTGGTAAGATAAGTCATAGTCCACAAAATTTATCCAGATATCCTAATATGCTGACAATAAAAATGTAATCAAAATGAACATTTATAGATACAGGAAATGTGGTTGGGAACATGCTTGTTTTTAAGTCATAAATGGTTAAGAACCATTCATCAAATTTTTCAATGGGAATCAAAAAACAAATGAAATTTGACATTAGTAGCATTGTAACATTCCAAGTGTTCTTCAGCATGCAAAGACTATGACATGGCAATTAGGGTAAAGATGTTTTACAAATATAATATTTTTCATTTTTCATTTGAGGAAATTTAAATTAATATAGTTGGATGACTTGTAGAGTGGTAATATTTTTAAATGATTTAAAAATAACCAGCAGCAATACTGAATATTTTTAAAGTAATAAACATATCTTTCTTTCACCATCAAAGAAACCAATGAAGTATGACATAGACAATACTAAGTTAAACATTTCACATAGCATGTACTAATAATTTTGTATTATATCATAATATTATGCAATAAACCAAAGAGTAAAAATTTTTAAGATTTCTTTTAGCACTTCAAAAAACCAAAGAGTAAAATTTGTTAAGGTTTGTTTTAGAAGTAATTAAATGCAAAATATAAGTAAAATTAATGTTAGAGAGGCTATATAAGACTTATCAATATATTATTTTTGTCAGCTGAAAAATAGGATTTTGTTTTTCTTAAATATTGTCAGAAAATATCCTTTAATTTTAGTGAGAGAGGAAAATCCAATAAGTTCTTGTCGCGCAGTGACAAGGGACAGGTTTTAATTGCAGAAAGAGCTTGCGTAGATTTCCAGTTTTACCATCTAGTAGTTATAACTCCTGGAACAGTACTTAATTTGTCAGTATTCCCATGTGAGTATGCAATAGGGTAGGGGTTACTCTGCCTCTTATGAATAAGTATGATGAAGACATGAGATTAGACATGTGAACCACTTGTGCATATGTGATGTATAAGCAATGCTTATTTTACATTACTATTTTATGATTAAAATTTTTATTATTAACTGAAATCCAACAACAGTAAGACTTTCTATAGTCAAGGCATTTTTACTTTTAAGGTGATCTGTAAAGCTTTAATGAGTAAGGTTAAGATTATATTTTAAATAAACAACTTTATTGAAGAAAGATGCTATTATAAGGATAATACTTTAAGCTCTCTCTGATGAAACTGAAAATAAGACTTGTAATTTTTTAAATGGCAACTTTTTCAGAATTTAGATTTTTCCTAATTCTGAAAATTGTTAACTTTGCTGATCTTAATTAAAAAACACTAAATTAAACTAGTACTTGAGCATGGTTCTAGCTAAAGTTTGCTGTGAAGCTGAGTGTTCATTTCTGTGAGACCGCTCTGCCTTTAGGAGGTTTTCATTTTCAACATAGATGGCAAGTGATTCTTACCTCGAACATAATATGGGTTTCCAGTTCTGTTGTGCTGAGTTTCATTTTCATGTTCCTGGGGCCATCGCAAACATTTGTGCTTCAAGTTTCCCATGAAAAGTCCCATCCCAATTGCAGAAAATATGCTCAGAGAAAATACGGTTAAGGTAATGGCACCAAAAAGCTTCTTCACGCAATGGATCAGGGTCTCTACAAGGGAGTTCAAACCTGGAAAGAGAAAGGTGTGTTTTTGATAAAATAGAAATCTTAGCAAACCAGCCTTTGCAGCAAAACTCTCCCATGGGTAAATGCATACTTCATTGAAATCAGCAGATCTGTGTTTTATAATCTAATTCTTGTCATCTAGTCTATCAAATAAAGTAAATAAAAGTCAAAATTTGAGGTTTCTTAAATTTATTGTTGCTAATTTGTAACACCCAGAGAAATAATTCAGACCCAGTGTTTAAAATTAGGTTTTTGTTTGTTTCTCTTTACTATATAAAGAAAAGTTTTTCTGTATTGGATATTGCTAGTCATAGCAACCACCAGTGTTGACACACACAAGCACAATGTGCAGATATAAATCAAAATGGGTTGAAAAGGTATAATAACAAGAAATAATTTGAAATTGCAGTATTCTGTACTTTTTTTAATTATAAGAATTCAATTTTTGAAGCTATATAAATAGAACTTGTGACAAAATTTTAATGATTAATAATGAGAATGATACAACTATGATATAGGTAAAGTGTATTTATATCACAATTCTTACTAATTGAGAAATCAAGCTTATAGCTGGTTTTATTTAAAGATATTCCTTTTTCTAATTATTAAGTATACATGATAAATTCTGAAAATACAAAAAACAAAAACCAAAAATACTTCTTGGTTGTACTTCTTGGTACAACATTGGTACTTCTTGGTACAATACTTCCTTATTGTACTTTTTCTTAGTTGAAGCTGGTACTATTATTTTGATATAAAAACTTCCCTTCCTTCCTCTCCCCTTTTTTCCTTTCTTCATTCATTCCTCCTTCTCTTTTTCCCTTGATCTCTTCTTACTTGTTGGTCTATCCAGCTTAATGATGTATAAGAAAATACAGTTGCTATCTGAGCTGATATTAAGCAGGTTATTGACATTTCTGTCTCTGTTTTATTAACTTTAAAATGAGGATAATACCTATTTCGTTTGTTATCATTGGAGTTGAAAAATCTATTCTTTTTTTTTTTTACTTATTTTTTAAAGAAAGGGTTTCACTATGTTGTTAAGTTGGTCTCAAATTTCTGGACTTATGCAATCTGCCTGTCCCTTGCCTCCCCAGAAGCTGGACTACAAAATGCATGGCACATAATTTGGCAATCATCTTATTTTTTGATATCTGTATTTCCCATAAAATTTACTATATTTTTCTCTAATGTTTTAGATAAAATATTGCTTCTTTGAGCACTTATGTCAAATTTTAGATACTATTTTGAACCAACATGTAAATCTCTACATAAAAATATAAGACTGAGGGCTGGGTTATATTTTAGTGAAGTGTGCTTGCCTGGCATGCCCAAGATCCTGGGCTCCATTCTCAGAATCACAAAAATTAGAAATGGAAAATAGAAAACTGTATTTACACTAGCTGCACCATATAAGATAAGTACATAACCATTTTTACTTACTCACGTTTCTCTCTTCCCACTTTTCAGTTTTTACTACTATACTTTAGGACTTTTGACTTAGTTATAATTGTTAAATTATAATGTTTTTCATAACATTCAATCTATCATGATTTATTAGACTAAAGGAACATTCAAATCTTTTACAAGGGCTTTGTTTTTTAATTTTTATTTTATTCATATGTGCATACAATGTTTGGGTCCTTTCTCCCCCCTTCCTCCCACTCCCTCCATTACTCCTGCCCTGCTCCCTCCCTTACTTCCCCTTACAAGGGCTTTTCTGAAAGATTAAATCCATGCAAACTGAGAGAGGACTCAGATGAAATGCCTGACTTAAAGGGGAAGGGGCTCCTAACTATAACAGGGTGTTATCATTTGGGAATATAGGTGGACCAAGGCTGACTGATCCATTAATTCATCTGAGTTCATTTAGATTTTAATGAAAATGACCACAATTTTATAATGTCAGCATCTGTTTCAAAGTTTTCTCAGAGAACGTGTCTCTAGTTAGGAATAATCTATTAGTGTCTACATGGTAACCACTGATTTATGATAAGTGCATTTGCTGCACAACCCACTAATAGCAACTTAGTATTTATTTCCTGTTGCAGTGGTTCCAGAGTTCATTGTGATCAGTTTCGAGATTAAATCTTTGTGATACTGGACATTTTAATTCTCATATTTTTCCAGAAATTATTCAGGAAAGATAAATGTGTAAAAGTTCAGAACTTTTACATGAATGAGAATATTTTCTGTTGACTTCAAATATGAATGACAGACAGGCATAGAACTGCAATGTTATGACCTCTCCATCCACACTCCACTGAAGCTCTGAAATTCCACTGCCTCCTGATGGGTGATATCAAGAGGTCTAAGGATCACCTTTCTACAGTGTCTGTTTCTCTGCTTTCTTGTTCATAGGGTTTTCATAGTACTTTCATTCTCTAACACTCTAAATTTATAAAATTTTATAAGATCTCTACATGTATCCGTTGCTATTATTTTTCTAGTGAGTCCTTTCCATTTGTAAGGGTTTCCTCCAGTTAAGAAAATTAAACATTCCAATGCATTTAAAAATAATTTGTCATTGATATTTATTCTGGCCTCTTTTGCAGGATAGCTAATTATCCATAAAATGGAACTTGGTTTTCTCTCCACCAATCCACTTCATTTTCAATTAATACAGAATTTCTCTAGTCTTTGTTTACAAAGTGGTTTAGTTTGATGCACTGATAACACTACCATTTGATATTCACCTAAGATATTGCAATTTATATTACTTTCCATCTTAAACTTACTTGTATTTGTCTATTTTAGTATTTAGTTTTCATCTTCTGCATACTTTTGGGACTACAAAATACATAATTTTTTTTGCTTGCTCTTATCCTAATGCACATCTGTTTAAAAAACAGTAGTACTTTCACTCTTTTATATAATATACTTCTCTTTCTAAACTGTAAAAATATTTTCATATTATAGTCCATATTGCTGGTATGTGTCTTGTTCATTCTCCCTTGAAATAAAGAGCAAGAGGTCTCTACCAGACTGCTCCCAAACCCTAGTGGGTGTATCTGCTTATATTAACTTATATTAATGGAGTGTCTTTTATAAGCTTTACCTCTGATCTTAACATGAAGATTAAAGAGATGCAATTTTATGTCTTCAAAGTTTCAGAAAGTGGAAAAGGAATGGAACTTTGGATATTCTTATCAGAGTGATTCTGCTTTGATACTTTACTAAATTTGGTGAAGCTACCATGCCACAAACCATTTACATCAAGCACATTTATTGAGATGTAATTCAGAAATGCTATAATTCATTTTCTTAATGTATAAAATTCATTGTCTTAAAAATATTCACAGGGAGTTTGGATCCAAGATGGCGACTAGAGGGAGGAAGCAGATAGTGTGAGCACCGTAGAGCAAAAATCTTGGTGAGATGCTGGAGCCACATTTGGCAGGAAAAACCACCAAGAAGAGGCAAAACTATGACACCCCAAACCCCCAGACCTCACAAAGTTTTTCCATGCCACATTACAGTGAGAAATCAGGAGAGATCATGTGCCACCAGATGCCGGCTCCTAACCTGCCTGGGAGATGCAGACCAATAGGTGAGACAACGACCGAGCTACTACTCAAATACCTACACCAGGACTGGATGCTGAAGGAGTAACATCAGAACTACTAAGACTGAAACTTCATTGCACCTGACCTGAGATTTTTTTTCACTCTTCTTTTTTTCTCTTTCTCTCTAAATCCTTGTTTAGTTCACTGTTGATTAGTATACCATCTCTCCCTGTTAATTTGTCTCTTTATTTTTTTTCTTTTTTCTTTTCTTTCTTTGCCTTCTTTTTCCTCTTACTCTTCCATTTTAGATTTCATTACTTTTACTATTGTAAGCTAGCTAATACTAAATTACACACAGCACAGGGAAAGTAACAGCACAAGAGAAATGATGGGAAGATGGAAAAAGAATGGAAACCATTCTCCCCCAATAATAAATTAGTACAGGAACCAGAGGGAAATGAAGAAAATGGATACCCAGATACAGACTCCAACAAAACAAAGAGAAACTATACCAAGGAACCCAAAGAAGCCCACAAGAAAATTCTGAAAGAAGAAATCCTGCAAGTAATCAATGAGAATTTCATAGAGATGACACTAGACATGGTCAACCAACATGTATAGGAGACACTGAAGAAATTCCAAGACAACAACAAAAAAAGAATATGAGAAAGCACAAGAACAAATAAAAGAAACCATAGAAACCCTAAATAAACACCAAAGTGAAATAAAGAATACCATATATCTAGAGATAAGTGAATAAAGGATGAAAATTGATAATATTAAAGAGGAAGTGACCCATGACATGGAAAAACCTCAGAAAAAAGAATGAAACAGAAATGCAAAACAAAATGGAAGGCCTCTCCAGCATACTAGAACAAGCAGGAGACAGAATCTCAGAACTTGAAGATGAAATGATAATAAAAGGAAAAACTGAGGAACTACTAATCAGCCAACTCAAGACCTGTGAAAGGAATATGCGAGAACTCACCAACTCCATCAAAAGACCAAACCTGAGAATCATGGGTATTGAAGAAGGAGTAGAGGTGCAAGCAAAAGGAATTTGTAATATATTCAACAAAATAATAACAGAAAATTTCCCAAATCTAGAGAAAGTTATGCCCGTTCAGGTACAGGAAGCATCCAGGACACCAAACAGACTTGATGAAAATAGAACTACCCCACAACATATTATCATTAAAACAACAAACACAGAGAACAAAGAATATTGAAGGCTGTAAGAGAGAAAAAACAAATAACATACAAAGGTAAACCCATCAAAATCACAGCAGATTTCGCAATGGAAACCTTAAAAGCAAGAAGAGCATGGAGTGAGGTCTTCCAGGCACTGAATGAAAATAACTTCAACCTTGGATACTCTACCTAGCAAAATTATCTTTCAAAATAGATGGAACAATAAAAGTCTTCCATGATAAGCAGAAACTAAAACAATATATGACCACCAAGCTACCACTTCAAAAGATTCTTCAAGGAATTCTG